GTGTAAAGCTACATTGCAGAATGCAACTCACATTTACCCAATTATAGCTCGCTTGGAGCGACGACGCTTTTTGAGTCCGGGCGGATAGAGATTTTAGCCTCCAAAAACAGGTCAGCATTAATTCCATGATTTCCTATGTAATTTTTGGCGCTGAATCTGAATTTGACCATTTTACAACAAAATCGTCGCCAAGAAGTTGCCAAATTTGGCAAAAATGGCTTAAAATCGGCCTTTTTAGCGGATTATGACCAGTGACTTGCCAGGAGTTGATCAGACGACAAAATTGGTTATTTCCACAGTTAAAACTCGTTGAACTTTCTACAAGCTGAGTCAAATTCTTTCTGTTCACGGCAAAATTAAACGCGCGACAAGCAGCAAACTGAAAAAAAGACCCCAAAATCGCCGCTTTTTGCGGTTTATGTCCTATGTTTCTTGTTTTCCGACTAAATGAACATCTCTTAGGAAAATCTGAATTACACAGAGTGTAACGACTTACTATTGTATTCTTACATATACAGGGTGAGCGAAAAGTCCCCGACCCCCCCTCTAACTTTTGAACGAATTGAGCTAAGGAAATGAAACTTTGGGAATGTTCCTATCTTAAAGGGCACCATCTTTTGAGGGGGTCAAAATTTTGGTCCCCCCCTCAGGGGGGACAGGGGCCCCCCAACTTTTTTTTTCAAATAGCAACCCCTATCTTGTGATACCTCATTCGAAAGAGCATACAAAACTAAGAATTTTGGCGCAAACCGCAGATCAATATCTCAATTTTTGACCGAGTTATGATAGGTCAAAGGTCAAATTCGACCTATTTTCAAAAAATCATAACTCCGGTTCAAATTATCGTAAAGAAAAAAATAAAACGGGAAAATTTACCAAATTGTGTTCGCCTTTACGTAAAAATTGCAGAAATCACTTCGATTTAATTTTAAGGGGGGGCTCGGACCCCCAAATACGTCAATTCAAAGGTCATTCAATTTTCCTGCGAAATAAGCCAATTTCCTCTGGATTTGCCTCCACATTATCTCAGTAAGGTCAAAATCAGTTCAACTTTACGTTGGCAAGTCCCCAAATATCGGGACAAGTTAAAAAAACCAAATTTAAACGGTCAAATTTAATCACCTTAAATTTGGTTTTTTTAACTTGTCCCGATGTTTGGGGACTTGCCAACGTAAAGTTGAACTGATTTTGACCTTACTGAGATAATGTGGAGGCAAATCCAGAGGAAATTGGCTTATTTCGCAGGAAAATTGAATGACCTTTGAATTGACGTATTTGGGGGTCCGAGCCCCCCCTTAAAATTAAATCGAAGTGATTTCTGCAATTTTTACGTAAAGGCGAACACAATTTGGTAAATTTTCCCGTTTTATTTTTTTCTTTACGATAATTTGAACCGGAGTTATGATTTTTTGAAAATAGGTCGAATTTGACCTTTGACCTATCATAACTCGGTCAAAAATTGAGGTATTGATCTGCGGTTTGCGCCAAAATTCTTAGTTTTTTATGCTCTTTCGAATAAGGTATCACAAGATAGGGGTTGCTATTTGAATAAAAAAGTTGGGGGGCCCGTGTCCCCCCTGAGGGGGGGACCAAAATTTTGACTCCCTCAAAAGATGGTGCCCTTTGAGATAGGAACATTCCCAAAGTTTCATTTCCTTAGCTCAATTCGTTCAAAAGTTAGAGGGGGGGGGTCGGGGACTTTTCGCTCACCCTGTATAGATAAGAGCCGCTGTAACAGCGGTCTCTCGCGTCCCGCGACGCCTAACCGCCATGGTTCCTTGTCCTCTCACAGGTCCTCAGTAATTTGGAGCGCCCTTGTTCCTTTTTAAGCCCCTTATTGCCCTTTCCTGGGCGTCTTCTTCACTTTGGTATTGTTACTTTTTTCTATTAAACTCCATTTTCTCAGAATTATAAAATAAAATTGTATACTGAATATAGGACGATGAATAATAATGGTCAAATACCGCCAAAATTCAATGATTCTACGTAATTTTGGCAATATGACATTTGCAATGCGTCTTGTCTTGTTTTAATGAAGTCAGTCTGAGGAGTACATTTTATTCATCAATTTTTAGTAGAAAGTTTTCCATTACTGTTTCAAAATGTGATTCATTGACGAGGTTCGACAAAACTCACTGTTTTATGAATTTTTCCTCTCTGGAATAAATACCCTAGTAATTAGTTATATCTAAGTTGAAAATTAAATTATTCTACAAAAGCGTATTATTTTGCACGAGAGATACATTTAAATAATTTAAAAATAAGAAGTGAACAAAGAATATAGGACAAATATCGAAAAACCAGCGAAAATTCAAGTATTTTGTTTAAGCTTGGCAACATCGGAATATGTTCGGTTTTATTGTATTGTTCATTTTTATTAAATTCTTCTCATGTTCTTCATTAGTTTAGTCAAGAAACATTCTCTTAATCGGAAAACAAGAAACTTAGGACAAAAACCGCAAAAAGCGCCGATTTTGGTGTCTTTTTTTTCAGTTTGCTACTTGTCGCGCGTTTAATTTTGCCGTGAACAAAAAGAATTTGACTCAGCTAGTAGAAAGTTTAACGAGTTTTAACTGTGGAAATAACCAATTTTGTCGTCTGATCAACTCCTGGCAAGTCACTGGCCATAATCCGCCAAAAAGGCCTATTTCAAGCCATTTTTGCTAAATTTGGCAACTTCTTGGTGACAATTTTTTTATGAAATGGTCAAATTCGGATTCAGCGCCAAAAATTACATAGGAAACCATGGAACTAATGCTGACCTGTGTTTTTGGAGGCTAAAATTTCCATCCGCCCGGACTCAAAAAGCGTCGTCGCTCCATAAAGCTGTTTACAAAACTGATGATATCTCGCGAACCAAAAGTTTCCCAGCGAGCTATAATATATCGATGGATGCAGAATCAAACGAACTATCGATTAGACTACTTTTTAATCAAATTTGAAGATAGCTTCTTTGGGTATTTGCGGATTTGTAAAATTAGTCGAATTTAAAAATCGAAAAATTGGCAACAGTGCATGTTAAAATTAATGCGACATCAAAAATATGGTCATTTCCTATAAGGACGCAATTTTTAGAGAATTTTTGTTAAAACCGCAACTTCATAGCTCAATTTTTGATGCCACTTGCGGAATTTGCCAGTTTTCAACTTGGCAACGCTGTAGCGCGCGGGAAAAACTTCGGGTGAACTTGCCAATGCCGGAAGAAGGCGTGTCTTGTGATAGGGAACAACATATCCAACTCCGGGCAAAATCCAAGCGTAGGGTAAAATCGCCGATTTTGAATAACCCTCTTTATTGAGGATGCTCTTGAAAAAGGAGAATACTGTGTGGCGGTCTTTCTCGACGTAGCACAGGCATTTGATCGTGTTTGGCATGAGCGTTTAGTGGATTAACTTTATCAAATGCTCCCTTGCAACCATGTGGAACTCCTGTCACCTTTTCTTACAGATAGGCAGTTTCGTGTTCGGTATGAGAATGCAGTTTCCAGTATAAGACGTATAAGGGCAAGAGTTCCTCAGGGTTCTTGTCTTTCTCCCCTTCTATACTCTCTTTTCACCACAGACATCCCGCAGTCTGGGAGGGGGGGAAAGTTGGGCATTTATGCAGACGATACTCTCGTGCTGACATCGTCTCCAAGTTACAGGGAGGCACGTTTTAACGCACAATCCCACTTAAACAAAATTGATAAGTGGACAAAGAAAGACAAAACTAAATTAAATGCGTCTAAAACAATTGAGGTTGTTTTCATCAATAGACCATTTACACATATTCCCCTTCTTTTACGAGAAGTTAAAATCCCAAACGATAATATCGCAAAATATCTTGGCCTCCACGTGGATTCCAGGCTCAAATGGGGCGCTCACATTAAAAAAAAAAGGTCGCTCAACTGCGACTTAAGTTCTCTAATATGCAGTGGCTCTTGGGGCGCAAATCTCGACTTTCTCTACAACTAAAGTTACTTCTCTACAAGTCAATGTTGAGGCTTGTTTGGAGTTATGGTTGCCAATTGTGGGGTTGTGCAGCCAAGTCAAATTTAGATAAGATTGAAGTCATACAGATGAAGATTCTAAGAAGTATTACTAAAGCTCGTCGGTATGAGAGGAATGCAGATATTTGCGCTGACCTCAATATTGACTCTGTAGAGGATTACATCACCAAGATGTACTCTGCATATGAGATGAGACTACATCGTCACTTAACCAAGAAGCGCTTGCGCTTTTGGAATGGGACCGATGTGGTCGCAGGTTGAAAAGACGTAAGCCCAATGAGCTTGGAATTCAGGGCTTCTCAAAATTATTCCCCTAATACAAGTGTGCCTCCCCGTATCTTCGGACGGATCAGAGGTGCTTAGGTCTTCGGCCGGTGTCGGTCGACCGTAGTCTCAAATAAAACAAAGACAACAACAAAAGTTAAGACAAAAAGACATTTTTACTACAGGAATAATTATGTTTTTATATCTCCTCAATAATCAGCGGTAGTATGTTATTTTACGATAAAACTTTATATAATTTTAAGATAAAATGTATGTATGTATTATAGCTAAGTTATACTTACAGATTAATCAAGCTTAAAAAGACATCTTGAATGTCTATAAGTGATCTTTGTACATGTTGCACGAAAATGTAAACAAAGGGGTTACATAACCTCACTTTCTGGACTTCTTTCAGTTCATTGAATACAATTAATTCATCCGATGCGATATTAAGGATTCACCAGGCAGAAACGTGCATTTGAGGATATAAAGAACTCATAATTGCAAGAAAATCCGGCAGAAACTGTCTGAAACAACCCAAAATCAGCGTTTGAAAATTGGCTTTCCGTTCCCTGTGGGAAAATCCCCTGTAAATCGAACCGACTGAATCCTGGTCAGGGCACCAGGCCTAAAATCGCGATGTATGTCGAAATATGACTTAACACTAAAACGGTCTATTACTCATTTCGTTTTAGATAACGTGAAATATATCACTCAATGATGGACTTATTTTTTTGTACCTTTTCAGTTTAAACCCATATTTTTGGGTGTAGCAGACCCCAATAGTGATGTAGCAAAGTGGAAACGTGTTGTTAACACTCAGAAATGCATTCGTGCCGGTGGAAAACACAATGACTTGGATGATGTGGGCAAGGATGTCTACCATCACACGTTCTTCGAAATGTTAGGGAACTGGTCCTTTGGAGATTATTTTAAGGTATGTTTTTATCTGATGGGACCTCTAGTAATTGAATTTAACCATAATCAAGAATTATTGAAGTAGGTTGGTGCTACATATTCTTATTGGTTATAGAAATATGTAAAAACTAAAAAATCAATGTTGAGGGCGTGCATTGCATGAGTCACCAAAACCTGGCCCATCATCAGTTGGGTAAAATTACTTACTGGTAGATTCATCACTCAAAAGTCTCCCGCGAACTTTCCCACGAAATAGAGGTCTTGATCATTTTAAAGGTTTCAGTGCATTTGAGGAATAAAAAAGAGGAATAATGCCAGTGCTGATGGGGTGTGGTCTGCTATTCTTACCCGAGTTCCGAAGAAAAGAAAAATGAGTTTGATGAGCTTGGTTCTTTAAGGAGTTCTAGTGGAATGAAGAAAATCACAGGAAAAGAAGATTTTAAATTTCGAATTAGATTTCAAAATTAAAAATACAGGGTGTTTCAGACCCCCCGTACCAGGCCTTTTCCCCGGTTGTTTTAGATCGTACGAAGTCGGGGACCGCGTAGTTGAATTGGGAATCGACCCCAAGGAATCCGAATTTCGTGGTTCCGAAACCCCCCCACCCCATGTCCCTTAGGGGGTTAAAGGGGGGTCACGATGCTAAAAGTCACGGTTCCCGACCGAATCGCGGATAAGTCGCATCAGAATTGAAAGGCACGGAAAATTTCACGTGAAATTGACCCCTAAAAATCCAAAATCGGCTCATCTAAGGCCCAAAAAAGATCCCCTAAAGAGGGCGACAGTACCCCCCTCCATAATTTATCTTTGGTCTCAAAATTGACGTAGAATCTCCACGAAAAGACCGGTTCCCAGGCAATCGACCCCGAGAAATCCAAATTTCATGGTCCCGAAGCTCCTCTAGCCCCCCTTGGGGGGTAAAAGGGGGCCCAATTTTAAAAATCGGGGATCCTTTCCGAATCGCCAATTGATTGCATCCAAATTGAGGAGCAGAACACATTTACATCTCAAGTGACCCCCAAGAGTTCTAATTGACCCCCCTGAACGGCAGAAAGTAATCCCCTGAGGAGGAGGGCTTCGCCTCCTCCAAAAATTTCTCAGGATTCCTCTTTGGTCGCAAAATTGACGTCGATTCTCCAGGAAAAGACGGTTTCCCAGGTAATCGACCCCGAGGAGCTCAGGGACCATGAAATTCAGAGTCCTCGGGGTCGTTTACCTGGGAAACCGTCTTTTCCTGGAGAATCGACGTCAATTTTGCGACCAAAGAGAAATCTTGAGAAATTTTTGGAGGAGGCGAAGCCCCCCTCCTCAGGGGGTTACTTTCTGCCGTTCAGGGGGGTCAATTAGAACTCTTGGGGGCCTCTTGAGATGTAAATGTGTTCTGCTCCTCAATTTGGATGCAATCAATTTGCGATTCAGAAAGGAACCCCAATTTTTAAAATTGGGCCCCCTCTTACTCCCCAAGAGGGGCTAGAGGAGCTTCGGGACCATGAAATTTGGATTTTTCTGGGTCGATTACCTGGAAACCCGTCTTTTTCTGGAGAATCTACGTCAATTTTGAGACCAAAGAGAAATTATGGAGGGGGGTACTGTCGCCCTCTTTAGGGGATCTTTTTTGGGCCTTAGATGAGCCGATTTTGGATTTTTAGGGGTCAATTTCACGTGAAATTTTCCGTGCCTTTCAATTCTGATGCGACTTATCCGCGCTCATCCTTTATCGGTCGGGAACCGTGACTTTTAGCATCGTGACCCCCCTTTTACCCCCTAAGGGACATGGGGTGGGGGGGTTTCGGAACCACGAAATTCGGATTCCTTGGGGTCGATTCCCTATTCAACTCCGCGGTCCCCGATTTCGTACGACCTAAAACAACCGGGGAAAAGGCCTGGCACGGGTGGTCTGAAGCACCCTGTTTTTTTGTTTAAAAATGAAAATTCAAACATATTGCAAGCAAAGAGTATGTATCCTGTACTTTCTTAAAATGCATGAAAAAATAGGCGCAGATGATTCTTCAGTGAAGAAATTATTGGAAACATGCTTTCTTTATCCATGTATTTAAGAATTTACTCCTAACTCCCTTCACTTTTCAGAAAGAGGTTTGCGCCTGGGCATGGGAATTCCTCACAGAAGAATTTAAATTACCAAAAGAACAGTTATATGTGACATATTTTGGAGGCGATCCCAAGTCAGGCTTGGATCCAGATTTAGAGTGCAAAGAAATCTGGTTGAAACTTGGGTAAGAACTTTGCTAATGAGTAATATTTACTCTTGGTCATATTTTCTGCAGTTGCTAGTAGAAGAGAGAGAGTGTCCATATAGGCAGAGTTATACCATCTCTGTTACGGCTGATTTTACCTCCCTGTGTCAAGACAGTGCTAGAGGCGCATCAGCGTCTGACTCAAACAGCGATTTTATGTCGATTTTCGCTGTGTGTTAAACCCGTGTTTGGGGGTGTGCATCGGTGTTTGGCTGACACACCTCCGGAACTGTGTTCCAGGCCTTGAACCGGTGTTTAGCTGATCAGCTGGTTCATGAGTGTGGTTGTTCATGTTCGTATACAAACTCGAGTTAGGTTAGGTTAGGTTGGGCGCTCTTCCTCCCAAAAAAAAGGTCCAAAAGGTCCTTCTTTTTTCTGAGCGCTACAAGGAGCGTGTGGACCGAATGGACCGTGGATCCGATGCACACGCGCATTGGATCCACAGGGTCTAGGCCCCTTGCACCAGTTTTTTTCTATCTCCCGCTAATTTGGTGCGTGGGTTCCACGACCCGTGGATCCGATGCCCCAGTTTTCAAGGGGTGTGGGTGCGTGGATCTCATAGACTGTGGAGCGGTTGCACCGTTACCGGTTCTTGTCTTTCTTTTCTCTATTCTCTCTTCACCACAGGCATCCCACAGTCTGGGAGAGGGAAAATTTGAGCATTTACGCAGCCAATACTGTCTTGCCAGCCTCGTCTCGAAGCTACAGGGAGGCACGTCATAATGCTTAAACCAATTTAAAGAAGATCAATGAATGGACAAAAAAATGTAACTAAATTGAACGGGTCGAAATCCATTGAAGTGATTTTCACTAACACACCGTACAATCACATCCCTCTTGTGCTAAGGGAAACTCAAATCCCGAAAGTCCAAAAAGGTAGCAAAATATCTCGGCCTTCACCTGAATTCCAGGCTCAGATGGGGAGCTCAGATTAAAAAGAAGGTTGCACAATTGTGACTAAAGTTCTCAAATATACACTGGCTCCTGGGTCGCAAATATCGCCTTTCCCTAAAACCCAAGTTACTTCTCTACAAGTCAATGTTGAGGTGGGATTGAAGTTATGGTCGCCAATTGTGGGATGGCGCTGCCAAGTCAAATCTAGACGAAATTAAGATAACTCATATGAAAGTCTTACGCAGCATTCTTAAAGCAAAATGGTACGAAAGGAAGGCAGCTATTTGCGCTGACCTCAACATTGACTCAATGGAGGGATGTATCACCAAGATGTACTCTGCATATGAGACGCATTTGCATTGTCACAGAGACAAGAGACCCTCCACTAGTATCTTGGCAATGGCGGAAGCTTTTACTTTGGGGACTTCTACATTCAACTGTTGACCTACCTGACCCTCCACTAGTATCTTGGCAATGGCGGAAGCTTTTACTTTCGGGACTTTTCCATTCAACCGTTGACCTACCTGTTTGGTTGATGGTAAACAAAGTGTTGGTAGTTTCGTTTTGCAAACAAGCCGAAGTTTGGGAAATTTGTTTGGCTCATGACGTCACCCGAGGCTCATCAGCCACCATGTAGGTAGGTCATCAGCCGAAAAAAGAATATTCAGTGTTATCACTTCTGTTGTTGACTTTATCGGCCATACTTTAAATTTTGAAATTTTGTAAAACTTTTTCTCACCGATTTTTCTAAAAATTGTTGTTGATTCTACACTACAGCATTTTTTAAATCACCTGACAATGAGCGTTAGCTCGAAACAGCTGTAGTGTAGAATCAACAACAATTTTTAGAAAAATCGGTAAGAAAAAGTTTTACAAAATTTCAAAAAAAAAAAATAATATTGACTGTTGCTCCCTTATAATTGTCCATAAGGAAGTGTTGAATCCCTGAAAGTAAAAGCCTCCACCTGTCGCCAAGAGGCCAGTAGAGGGTCTCTTGTCTCTGCATCGTCTCCCCAACCCAGAAGCGCTTGCATTCCTGGGACCGGTGCATCAGTAGGCTGTAGCGACGTAAGCCCCATGAGCTTGAAATTCAGGTGTTCTCAAAATTCCTCCTTTAAAACAAGTGTGCCTCCCTGTATCATCGGACGAATCAGGGGTTCCTTGGTCTTTGACTGGTAACAGTCGACCACAGTAAAGTCAAAACTAAAGACGTTTATAATAAAAGAAAAAGACACTTTTAATGAACATGTAATAATTATGTACTTGTTTCCCACCTCATTTCATAGAGGTAGTATATCCTAATTTAAGTTAAAATTGTACATACATAGTGTTCGGAAGTTAATGTACTTAACTTTCAGAATCGACTTTTCGGCTCAAAATATGACTTTTTTCCCTACACACATATCCCCGAAAAAGCTTAATAGGTGAGCTATGCGCTTCCAAAGTTTCCATTTTTTTCCTTTCAAATTAATTTAACTTCTCGTTAGCTAGTCGTAAGTGGCTGAAACTTTGTGCAGGGGGGTATTTTTTAGCGTACTCTTCACTTTCTGTGTTTTTAAGGACGTACATTATGGTGTCCCAAAATAAATTGATCCTCGAAAAGGTAAGTTTTCTGGTTAAAAAAGTGTTCCATTTGGTCAGAAAAAACTTTTTGCAAAGTTTCACATTTTTAGGTGAAGTTTTAGTGCTGCCGCATCGCACATTTGTGAAATTTGCGATCCCGACAATTGAGATTTTTGACAGTTTGATGATCTCTTTTAGGGATGAAGCAGACGCGCTAGAGCCCCGAAAATCTGAGACAGTATACTCCTAACACACTACTTTCGTTGTTACTTGAACATTTTGCCGTGCAAGACGTGCAAGTACATTTTAAATTTTTTAAAGGGACCAAGGAATCCAGCTGACGAATTAAGTACTGAAGAACAACTTAAGGTAGTGAAAGAGCTCTTTCCGGAAAAACCATTGCCGTCCTTCGAAAAACCTGAAGTTGAGGATGAAATCCAACCCTTCACCAAAGGCGAGTTAGAAGAAGCACTGAGGACCACCAGATACAAAAAAGCTCCAGGACCGAATGTACTCCCCCCAGAAGCGGTCAAAGCGTTTTTTGGTACTAACGTGGAAACGGGACTAGGAGTTTTCAACGAAGCCCTTACTTCGGGTTTTTTCCCAAAAATATGGAAGAAGGCTAACTTAATTTTAATACCAAAAGGAGTTAAAGGAAACAAGAAAACTCTCCGCCCAATCTGCTTAATAGATGTTATGGGAAAAATCCTGGAGAAACTAATTCTACACAGACTCATAGCCGAGATTTTCATTTCAGAAAACCAGTTTGGTTTTGTGAAGGGGCAATCGACGGTAGTGGCGATCAAGAAAGTAGTGGATTTTGCAAACAGAGCATCGGAAAGGAGACGTCCATCTGGGATCGTGATGCTTGACGTGAAGAACGCATTTAACACTGCAATATGGGAAGGAATAATTGAAGCACTTAGGAAAAAAGGCGTATCAACTTCTTTGCTCAGCGTAGCATCATAGTAGACGGAAAAGAAATGCAAAGCTCATGTGGAGTGCCCCAGGGTAGCTGTTTGTCGCCGTTCTTGTGGCTGGTCTACTATGACTTTGTGGTGGGGGGTGCCCTCTCGCAAAATAGTTTATTGACCGCGTTTGCAGATGATGTCGCGGTCAGTGCCTGGGAAAGAACGATGTACGGACTTATCTGGAAATTACAGAGCGCAGTGGCTTACACCTTAGGAAGAATCTGGAAGCTCTGTCTGGAAACGGCGATAGAAAAAACGAAATTCTTAATTCTTAAGGCAAAGAAGGCAGACCGCAATGTAAAGATAAAAGTGGACCAACTGGAAAGCCAAGCTAAGGAACATGGCAAATACCGCGGTGTTTGGCTGTCGGCGGGCTTGCATTTCAGAGAACATCACAAAAGAACATGCGGGAAAGTGAAAAGGGTTGCTGGAAACCTGACTAGGATCATGCCAAATAAAGGAGGACCGTCTGCCAGGAAAAGGAAGATTATCGCTTCAGTGGCCATCTCCATACTCTCGTATGCAGCTCCGGTTTGGGCAGACATTGTCAGGACGAAAACTTATGCTGATAATGTGAGGAAAACTTTCAGACCCATCAAGATTAAAGTGACAAGGGCCTACAGAACTGTATCAGATGGGGCGCTAGACGTGCCAGCGAAAATCCCTCCCTTGGATTTACTTCTACTCGAACATAAGACCAGATTTGACACGCAAGATCCGAAGATGGCTGAAGAAATGATGTATGATCCCTCTTAATTTTATCTCTCTTCTCGTTTTATTTTTCTCCTCTTTACTTTATCGACGGAATGCTATCCTCTCCTTGTTATTCATGTCAAATATTACCTTTTTTAGCAAACTTTTTACTGCATCTTTTGCAGATCGCACAAAAAAATATTCGGAAGATATTTAATCCCAATATGACGTTTTTAAGTGAGCTCAGAGATTTTCCAAATTTCTGGCTGTGGGACCAAAACTATGCTGGTATATGTCGACTACCTTCGGCTTATACGATGCCAGCAGTATTTCTCTGCAATTTAAAAAAATAAATCAATTTTCGCCGAAATTGATCTTTGCTTTCGATCAAGTTTCCGAATTTTTTAAAAATACTTCCGTGTCTTACACGCTCAAATGTGTAACTTATATCAAAAGTAGTCTAATAGAAGTCAACTACCTTTAGTTTTTACGACGATAGAAATATTCTTTCAAACTTTAAAAAAATCAGTCAAACAGTTTCCGGCCAAGTTTCCAAATTTCTAAAATATACTTGCGCGTCTTGCACGGCAAAATGTTCAATTTATATCGAAAGTAGTGTGTTAAGAGTCTACTATCTCAGATTTTCGGTGCTCTAGCGTGACTCCTTCGTCCCTAAAAGAATTCATCAAACTGTCTAAAATCTCAACTATCGGGATCGCAAATTCCACAAATGTGCGATGCGGCAGCACTAAAACTTCACCTAAAAATGTGAAACTTGGCTAAAAGTGTTTTCTAACCAAATGGAACACTTTTTTAAACAGAAAACTTAACTTTTCGAGGGTCGACTTTTATTTGGGACACCCTAATGTACGTCTTCGGAAACTGATGATCCAAGAGTTCCCCAATTTTAAAAGTGCGATAACTTTTATGGTAGATGATTTTTGGGAAGGCAGATCACAGCACGTGAAAGAGCGCAAAAAATCAAGGCCACTATGTACTGCACAAAATTTTTCAGAAACACGCCTTTTCGACGCAATAGGGTTTTGCAATAGTTCCAGAATTTTGAAGCTCCTTACTGGGTAAATAATTTTTACTGCAGGGACTGTAAGAAGATATCCCACGGAGCAAGGGGCTCCGAAAATCCCGAAGGTGTCGCGACGGCTCTTCCTCGCTTTTTGCTACGTAGGTAATTTTCTTACAGTCCCTGCAGTAAAAATTGTCTACCCAGCAAGGAGCTTCGAAAATCTGGAACTTTTTCGAAGCTCTGTTGCTTCCAAATGACGTGTTTTTGGAAAATTTTGTGTAGTACTTTGTGGCATTGATTTTTTGCGCTCTTTCACGTGCCATAACCTGTTTTTCCAAGTATCATCTATCAATGAAGTTATCGCAATTCTAAAATTGGGGAACTTTCGTAACGTCAGTTTCCGAAGACGTACATCCACGAGAACACGGAAAATTAACAGCACGCTGAAACATACCTCTCTGCACAAAGTTTCAGCCATTTATAACTAAAGAACGAGAGGTTAAGTTAATTTGAAAGGGGAAAAAATGGCAACTTTGGAAGTGCATAGCTCACTAATGAAGCGTTTTCAGGCATTTGTGTATAGGGGAAAAAAGTCATATTTTAAGCGGAAAAATCGATCCTGAAAGTTAAGTATGTTAACTTCTGGACATCCTGTATAGTATAGTTAAGTTTTCTCACAGCTAAATCAAACTTTAAGTTATTTACATGTATCTAGAAATGTATTTTTGTACCAATTTCTTCGCACAAAAAAGGAAAAATAAAACTATAAAAATTTGCATATGTAGACTCGTCATGGCATGCCATCTTGAGGCGTTGCTAGGCGATTGTTTTTGTCATAGTTTTTCGTTTTACCTATAAAAAATATCTCAAGTACTATTCTCAAGACAATTTAAGATTATTATGTTGCCATCCTAAATGAATTCTAATGATTTCCCCCTTTTAATTTGGTGGAGCAAAGTCTTGTGTTGAAAAACGTAATTGTATTTCTAGGCGCATCAGGCAAATTATTAATGACACGCGATGCAAATTCACAGGTAATTAATTTACACGCTCACAGTTTTTCTCTTAACTGCCATTTTCACTTTCACTATTTTGAGAAAATAGGTTAACCGATAAACTAATACCGAATTTGATTTTCGCGTGCCAAAAATCCGGCAGGTATCAAGTCTCACGCAATTTCACCTGCGACTAACGGAGATTTGGGTTTTTCTCTTTGTTTAATTTTGACCGGTTGCCATTTTTTCTAATCAAAATGGAGATACGCGGCTTGCGCCATAAATTTCCTTTTTTTTTATCCTCTTTCAATTGAGGTGTCACTAATAAAGGGTTGTCACTTGGAAAATAAGCTAATTTTAACCGCCCCAGTAAGGTCCCCAAAAGTAGTTTACATTGATCCATGGACATCTCCAAAGTTTCGTTGCAAAATATGAATTATGTAAAATTTTAGAGGGAGTGGACCAAATTATTGGGACACACTGCTTATAGCACTTGTAACACTCAAAACGAGTATATGGCTTAGGACTTGAAGCAGTAATCGCTCGGCCATGAGACGAGAAACGAGTTGTTGCACCATCACAAAGAATAAGCTGTAAGCTGACAGTCATCCTTCATTCTGTGAATGATCTTTGGGGGAGGGTATTCTATGGAGACCCATCTTCAAGAACTAGAAATTACCCATCAATCAGCTCGCCTTAAAGTGATCTTTACGGCAAACATCAAAATCAGAGATAGCCGTTTCCAAGCCGCCCCTTGCGGATATTTCTTCATCAGTTTTTTCCTCCTATCATGCGAATTTTTTATTTTACTAACTTTAATGTACAGTACTGCTTTAATGTACAGCCTTTGTCTAACGAGACTTTTAATCTCTTTCTTATATTTATCTAAAAAATCACAATTTATAATTATTTTTATTTGTTTGGCTGATTTCTTAGATTGCCTGATACTCATGTAATACCAGGCAGTATGAAGGATAACTTTTGGGAAATGGGTGAAACTGGTCCTTGTGGACCTTGTTCAGAGTTGCATTTTGATCGCATTGGTAATCGTGATGTACCACATCTGGTGAACCAGGATGACCCTGATGTCCTAGAAATTTGGAACCTGGTTTTTATTCAATTCAATCGGTATGTAGTTTTTAAGTATCCTAAAAAATCAATTGATTTGTTTATTTAAAAGAGCACCTTTGAAATTTCTATTCCTACGCCACACCTGGCAGCACTTGCATTGTACTCTTTTTGAAACAACCTGTTCAACTGAGTATACATACGTATACTGTTCCTGAATGCATATAATAAAAACTTTACTTTTCCTGACCCATAGAAATCTTGGTAACAACCTAGGAAATGAGAGGAAAGAGGTTAATCCAGAACGCCGATTCTGCCTCCCCCCCCTTGGATTTGGCGCAATATTTTCTCAAATGTTGTGCTAGGTGTCTTCAATTGTAGGGAAAAATTTCAGCACCATCTATTAATTAGGGGGGTGCAAAATTTTCAAAATTGATATCTCAAAAGGGGCCGCTCATAAATTACGTTAGGCTCTTAGGGACCGTTGGGATAAAGGGATATTTAGAATGAGAACAATTCACTTGCAGTGCACACTCATTTAATGAGGGTGCACCAGAGGTTATGAAAAATCTAAAAAGAGCTCAGCTGATATTAGACGTATTAATTTTTGCTCTCACGGCATTGCCATATTTCAACTCGCCTCCTCAAAAATTAATTCCATTATGAATAGATGCTAACTGGGAACAACATACAGGTTCAACATTTGTTGCAATGGATGAGGAAAACCCAGACTTTCAATCATCTCAGGCCTTGTCTCCACGAGCCGTTTCACGAGATTTGTCCCAGGGAAAAATCCCACTTACAAAGTTGGGAAAAATATTGAGTTAATCAATATTTTTCCCAGTATCAAGTATGGTACTTGTACCCACTAGACCCACTGGATCTCATTTAAGCTTCATTACAGGAAATTTTCACTTTGAAGTTGCCAAATTAAGCAAAAAAAGTCGATTTCTAGCAGTAATTGCACGATTTGAAAACTTCGGCGAAGTCATGTAACGAAAAGAATCGCCCGCACAAAAATCGCTGTAACTCGGGAACAAATCATTTCCCCAGGGTAAAATAAAGTGGGATGAATTCAGAAGTTTGTAGAAAATCACTCTGACCGGTTTTTGTTCACATAGCAACGATCGCCTGTGGACCATTGCAGGAGATACGATAAACGGAAAAAAGTCGAGCCGTCAATATAAAAAAAATGGAAGTATGATTACGATAAATTATGCAACCATCAAAATAGCATGTATATTCTTGTAGCGAATATTTTTTGACTTTTTTTAGCGCAAACCGCAACACTTACATTAAAACCGTTTCGGAGACATTGATTTTAAGAATTTTTTGAAATTGGCAATTTTGCCCCCACCCCCCTGCCCCCTCCCCCTAATTAGCCGATGGGGCTGAAATTTTGCCTAGGCATCGAAGACACCTAGCACAACATCTGAGAAAATTTTGCTGAAAATCCAAAGGAGAGGGGGCCAAAATCGGCGTTTTTTGAACAACCTCTACGATACCTATTGGATGCAGAGTTCCTGTCATAATGGGGCTACACAAGAAAATACTCTATCTCGAACTTAGTTTTGACTCTGATTTTCATTAAGATCCCAAGAATGAAGTAACAGGCGTTCATTGCTAAATGCTTTGATCACTGAATTTTTGAGATCCAACCAAGGGGGGCACCCCTGGACAATTTCGGTTTACATAATATCTCTAAAATGACAGTTATCATTTTTCCCTCTCAGAAATTCATTTGAACACCCTAAAAGGCACTTATAAACATGGACTTACCCAATAAAATCTACGATGAGTCAGTTAAGTCATTTTTTTTTTATTATGTCATTCGAAAGTAGAAAGTGACCGAAGCTTACAGTTTTTTTCCTAATTTTTTCGGATGACTGCAAACTGTAGAAAAGTTTATTTGAAAGTACCAAAGATTAGGGTCGCCTAAAACGTCGTTTAAACCGTGCGCTCGTAAGTTTCGAATGTACACGTCATGATCAATATGGCGGCGGAATGTGTAGTGGAAGAATACACGGCGGCGTCGCGCTGGCGGTTTTTTGTTGGTCAATTGGAGGTTATGTAGGTTACTTTGTTTGAGATTTATACCCATTGTTCTTAATTCTTTAAGCTTTTCAATCAGAATGCTATACAGATTTATATAGGATATGTAACATTCACACAGAACTTACTTAACCTCAAACGAGAAATCGTGTTGTCAACAACGGCAGCGTGGCGGTAGTAAGCAGGTTGGCTTTGTCGCCGCCATCTTTCCGTCTATGATGCATAGATTCGAAGATTCACGGTGGTCGGTTCAAACATATTTTTGAGGACCCCTAATATATTATCGTAAGCTTTATATCTCCGCGGAGACAACTTTTCGTGAAATTTTAACGTGCGCATTGATCTTCTTGTACTGAAAACTGTAAGATTCGACTATTTGCATGCAAATCCCTCCCGAGCTTAACTGACTCATTGAGCAAATATCACTATTTACACAATACTAAAATAAATATCAAATAAAAATTACTCCATAAGAGCTACTTCCCAGGGTAAAAGTATGTTGAAATCATCCGAGTACCCCAGTTCCTCAAGTAATACAACAGGCGCCCCACCGTAGTTGTACACCCGGAAATCTGATGCACATAGCTCCCGTGTCCGGCACCGTTGTTAAGACCCCATTATGTAGGTACCCTGTTAACATGTTCCTTCTACATGGCTTGATTGCTCTCCGTTTAATGAAACGTAACATTCACTGTAAATTTTAAGGCTCCCAAGGTAAGGCGTAAAGTCAATTTTTCGACCTTTCCTCAGACACGTCGATGTTGTTATTGAGGCTCAAAGAAACAGGAAAATACCTGGCAGGCATACATTATTAGGACTAAGCTTCTTGTAGCACTCTATCATTTACCCATAAGGGCAAAATAGAAGGTTCAGCAACTTTAACTTTTTCAATTCGTGTCATAAACGTTTCTCCAACATGCGGTTTGTTATGTATTATAGGAAATTGAGCATATAGGCGGAATTCTGGTTTTTATTTTGCTACAGCAATTGCAGAATGCTGGAACTTGGCAAAATGTGAATTTAAATTCTTGCTCCCAAAAAAAAAATGCCTGTAAATTGACAGAATGGTTAGAAAGAAGGTGTGAACAGAATGCCAGTTTTGACATTAGTACCCACCCATGGCAGGTGCATCGACCAAATTTTTTTGGTTTCTTTATTGTAGTCGATGAATTACGGAACTCATATATTGCGAATTCATTTTTACGGATGGCTCTAAGTATTGTCACTCCATTTTCAACTCTTTTTTCTGCTTTTTTGCGTGTTTTAAGGGAAACTTGGTTTTAATGGTACAATTGTTTCGATAGGAAAAAATCGCTCAGGGTGAAATTGTCTCAATTGAAGGGAGTGGAGTGTATTGAAGAAGCTGAAATGACCGCTTACATTTTCATGAAATCTTTCGAGGGGAAAAGATGCTTGAATTTATTTTTCCCAGGTTGAAATCTGTTGTGTCTTCCTCTCAAGTGCAAAAAATTTTCAGTATGCACTGCAAGTAATAATTTTTGTGAGATTTTCCGAGTTCTTTTGTTCAGTTTTTTATTATTCTCAGCTTAATTGGATGAGATATTAAGGGTCACAGATATGGAGAATATATTCTCCTACTAAAAAATTGGAAGTATGATTATTTACTATATGAAACCCTCCTAAGATTGAATTTAGATTAATGCATTAGTTTCAATTTTATGTACTTTCAGGGAAGCTGATTCGAGCTTGAAGCCTCTCCCTAAGAAGCACATTGACTGCGGTATGGGCTTTGAACGTCTTGTTTCAGTCATTCAGAATAAACGCTCAAATTATGACACAGATGTATTTGTTCCATTATTTGATGCCATTCAAAAGGTAAGTTTAGAATGCATTCTATGAAGATACCATTCTACCATTTACATTAAAGAGGAGGTGAATTGCATTAACAACACGGAAAAAAATTAAATTGCTGATTCAACAATTCAATTGCTAAAAACAGTGAGTGCAATGTTTCAACGTAGATTTTACACAAAAAAATGCTACTTTAACCACCCCTGTGGTTACAAATGCTGAAAGCTATGCTTATGTTGTCCTAAAGGGAACAGAGACTGTGTAGGAAGTCTTCCCACTAAGGTCACAAGTTTTCCCTGCCTAGCCTCATAGAAACCACTTGACCGGATTTCTTAGGATTTGTTTGAATAGAAGCGCATTATCCTGTGATCTGAGACCCTGATCCTTAAATCTTAACATTTTTATAACTGACATTACAAAATTTCTCAGAAGTCATTTAAGGGGAACCTTAAACCTAAAACGTTAATTTTATTGTGAATCGATTAAGTATAGAAAGTTGTTAATGTTTCAAGAAGCTTATAGGTATGATTTGCGTTTTGATGAAGCAAGAAAAAAAAAGGCACCTAAAATGTGGCCCAAACTGTAAATAACAGGATAGTAGAATAGTACTGGGTCCCCTTAAACGCATCTCAAACCACCTGATCATCATTTTTATCATGGTTTCATTGTACCTCCCTGAGAGCTGTTCAGCAGCAATGGTCAGATGGCGCAAGGATCGCAATTTTATGTCATGCTTTGCAGCCAGTGTTGCTAAAAATAAATAATGTCAATAAAAGGTAAAATCGTGAAATTTCATGTAAAATACTTCTTGAAAGATGCTATTCTAGTGTCATGCCTCGTGTCATATTCATGACTGCACTTCGATCCTGTCCTGGATTTTGCAGGTTGCTGAGCTGGGCTCACTGAAGAGTGTGCTCTTTTGATGAAGTCTTGAAAAACTCAAACTCAGGGGAGGTGTCACGGAATGACCCCAGCTTAGTATTCTAATTCATCCGTCTGAGCTGCTCATTCTCCTTCCTCAGTCTTGCACTGATACTCATCAGACTTTAAATTTTTAAATCGGTGGAAATTTCTGGAATTCCTAGCCTTTTTTTCGTGCAGAAAAGTCTAGACCCAGCATTATTCCACTCTGCCATGCTAAGGAAGAATTCCGTATAAACTATCAGATTCAAACTGAGTTATTCACTTTCAAAGTCTAAAGCATGCCTCTTTGCGAGATTTGCGAATTAAAGAATGAGGGTATGTCGGACCCACGGCAAGCTGCCCGTGCAGGCAGGGTCCTTTCACTGTACCGATTTTGCCGTGTGTCCATCCTAGAGCCGAGGAGGCGCTTCCAACGCTGCCGGCTGCGGTATAAGGGTTTCACCTCTCTCGTCTCTGTGAGGTTTATTTTTGCAGGAATCATTTCACCTATAACCAAAAGCATTAACCTTGCGTGTTTTTAATGTAGAGCTGTTTTAAAAATTCAAATAAAAATTAAAAAGGAAAGAAAATAATCTTGAAAGTAACTGCAACTGAATCGGAAGCTTCATATCTTTCTGTTTTATTTGTATGTTTCTTATTTGAATAAGGGGCATGTTAAATTGAAAGTTGGTCTTAATTGAAGAAAGTAAGTTCTGCGCGGAAAAAATTATGTCAGTGATTAGTAGTTCCCTGATTCTAGTAAATAATAAAATCCTTATTTTCCCTTTGCAACCTTTGTTTTTCTCCCTTTTTTTACTTACTATTTTGAGGAGACTATTCCACATTCATAAAATTATTTTTTCATTACAAGGCTAGGTTTCCAAATTACTTGATTTACGTATTTATGAAATCTATACTTCAAAAATATAAAAGGAAAATCTAACATAAGAACTTGTTTAAAACAGAATTTATACAATTTTCCGCTTACAATGTAGGGAAAGATCGTCGAATAAAATTGACGGTTTCAAAATGCCGAGAATTTACGTAAATTCAGCAGACAATATGATACCTGTTTTAGGATCGAGTGGGATAAGCAGAGGAACCAATCCAATTAAAAAAAGTAAGAACTTAACTTTAGCAACGTAGCTCGTTTTTATCGTCGTTTGAATTTTCCCTTACTCCTTTTGTTTGAACATCAATAAAGAAGAAGAAAAAATTAAAGAATTGACAAAAAAAATATAATTGTTCAAGGTCTCATTAATCGTCTTTAAACATAATATAATATACTGTATAAATTTCACAGCAAAATCATAGTTTCTAAGTCTTAAAAAATTGAGGTAGAACTTGTACCCGGAAACATTTTGAACGGAAATGATAACGAAAAGAGAATGCGTGTCTACCCATAAACAAATCACATGCTACCAGGAGATGATAAACAGCATAAGTGATCACAATTACTCAGAGCATGCATAACTGGAACTCTGAAATCGCATAAAATGGTTGGTGGTAGGGGTGATCAACAGCCCAACATCGCCGTGAGTCAGGGAATTGGCGAGGGCTGCTCGGGGCGAGTGCCGCATGTCCGCAAAGCATGGGGAAAACGCCGTGAGTGCTACCTGCGTCCCGAGTTTCCCAGACGGCAATCTATCGTTGCAACCTTGTCTCTATGCGGGACATACGGCTGAAATCAATAGAGACACGCCTTTGCTGACGTCACCATTGAACAGAGCATGCTTCACTTAGTATAATTTCATGTCTAACTCCAAAAAAGAAAAATTTTGGTTCATACGGGGTTCTTCCTTAGCATGGCAGTACTATCCTGTTTTAAATAAAGTAAATGACCAGTTGCTCTAAAGTGATTAAGGAATTCTCAGCTCAATTTTTGTGGAACTTTTTAAGGACCTCATTATGATCTGGAAATTCCCTCTTGAAAATTTCCTGGGAGGTTTTTATTGTACTTATTTTGTTTCTCCAGGGCACTGGTGCACCTCCTTACAGTGGCAAGGTGGGTGCAGAAGATACGGATGGAATAGATATGGCTTACCGTGTCCTTGCTGATCATGCAAGGACTTTGACAATTGCTCTTGCTGATGGAGGTTTTCCGGATAATACCGGTCGAGGGTCAGTTCAAGTGTTTTACCTTCTCTTTCATCCCTTCGTTTTTTTTCCCCTCCACCTAGTTCAATATGAATTTTCTAGTGTTCTTCACGCCTTATAAAAACTCAAAGAGTTTTGCCTCTGATGGCATGTTATGACACTCGACCATCTAGACTTTACAGGTAAATGGATTTGATACAAGGGTCATTCCATGCCAAATCAAGCTACCTCCAAAGTCCAAATTTTTAGCTCAAAATTTGGACTTTCTCTTACTTTGACCCAAGGAATGAGTAAAAAAAATCGCTCAAATCTGAGACGGGTGGTGAACTTTGGTCATTTTTTTTATTAATTTGGCATGGAATGACCTACGAGGAGATTGGGATAGCAAGTTCAGAAATTGTCATATGTGGTCTCTTGTTTCTCACCCTTAGAACCTGTTCCAATCATGCATTGATATTTCACTTTCAAAAGATGACATTAGGTCAAAAGGTCGTAATGGGTCTGTTGCGTGTAAGAGATACAACCAATTGAATACACTTTACTTTTTACTGGAAAAGTTTGTTTGCTCTGTTGGCAACATTGCAAAGTTTCAAACTTACGGATTTAGCAAAAAAAATCATGGCATTAGCCTCCCTTCCTCTTGAATTGCTTTGGATTATTACAGTACGACGCTTATGATATTTCCATGGTGAGGAAACCTTTTCTTTACTCCTGTTTCAACACAGTCAAATTTCAAACTTCACAATTATGGATTTGACGACAAAATGATAGCATTGAGGTTGAATATACAGAATATATTAATATACAAATGTATGTGTTTAATTTTTGTGTATTCTTTGAAAAGGTGGTTCTTTGTCTGTCCTCTAGTAATAAATTTTGAATTTTCTTGGTGGAGGATCCTGCATTCGGGCTCTCAAATTCTGCTGCAAACAGATGACGAATCTCGAACTGTCCAGCAGTTTCCTGTTTGGTAGATTAAGGGGCGGGGAGAACCTCCGAACATCAGTAGAAAATGCAATTGTTAAGAAGGGGTGCTCAACTGTGTTTCTCAAAACTTATCATGCAGACTTGAACCTCTATGAAAATGATTTAGGATTCAAAGCATAGGCTAAGTGAAAAAATAAACCAAGGGCGGGGGAGGGGAAATGTCACCTGCAAAGTGAAGAACCCCCCTCCCCTCACCCGTCAAGGATGCCCCCTTCCCTTAGCAATACGAAAGGCGAGGAAAAAAGTGAGCGTAGTTTATGATCGAAGGAAATAATGTATTATAATCTTGGTCTTCAATATTTTGACTTGGACCCATTTCTAAAACCTTTTGGAGGAGCTGGCCGAAGGGTTGATCGACTTCGTAAGGACTCCTTATTGTCCTTATGCCAAAAATCAGCTTGTTATTAATTTTTTCCCTTAACTTTTGTACAAGTCCTGGACTAGTTGCTTAAGAGCAAAGAATAGAGTTTTTTGTCGATGTTAAGGGGTTCGAAGTAAAATTTTAAGGTTTGCAACGTGTAAACAAACATTATCAATTGTAAGTATACTATATAAAGTCACGATAATAAACAATTTGATGCCTGTAATTGTTGCTACCTGCCTTGAAAAGTTGCGTCCAAAACGCTTAAGAAGCGAGTCTCTAAAATTTTCGCCGCGACTAAAACCGCGTTGCGGCAACACTAAAAATCATCTGATTTCACTCAAATTTGGGGATATTAGTTTTTGAACATAATGACACCATACAATCATCGAACATCGATGATCCGCGAAATTTTTTGGGATGGCTCAAATTCGGGACACCTGGGCCTATTGCAAACTTTTGTTAGAGCAAAAATAAGAGTTGATCCTTATAGATAATGTTTCAAAAATCACGATGAGCGCATTGGCAAACTCTGAAATGCATTCCTAACTTCACAATCTGCGTTAGAAATTTGCGTTTTTTTAAGCTTCCCGCTTCAAAAAGAATACTACAGCACAGGTAAACGTTTCATTAGAGGAGTTGTTCCATTCAATCCCTGCTTAACATGGCCGACGCTTCTGCGCACAAGTTGAGGAGAGCGCGAGATCAATCAAGGCGGGAAAAATGTGAATGTTAAAACGCCAATTGTTATCAGGTAGTTAGAATCATCGTCCTGTCACATGTGTTTTGGCGGATTGGCGTCGGCTATGTTGAATATTGCGTGGTATCCTTGTGAGCAGGGGTTGGATGAAATGACTCCTCTAACGAAATGTTCACCTGTGCCGTGGTATTGTTTTTGAGGCGGGAAACTCGAAAAGACGCAAATTTCTAATGCAAATTGTGAAGTAAGGAGTGCATTTCAGACTTTGCTGATGCGCTCATCGTGATTTTTGAGACATTTTCCATGAGTAACAAATCTTATTTTTGCTCTAGCAAAGGTTTGCAACAGGCCCATTGCCTTTTTTACTTCTTTCTTCCTATCCATTCGAATTTTTCTCTCATTCTTATCTTATTCTACGGAAGCCAGAACATCATTCAGGTCATTAAAAAATTACATATGCCATGGTATTGTTTCATGATTGCAAATTCACGGAAAACTAGTGAAAAATCGGTTTTTTTCAAAAGTTGAACCCACAGAAGCATCGGTTAAATTGATCTAAAGGCCAAATTTTGAGAAACCTATTTTTAAAATTTATGGAATGGTTCAAGACTGGACTTCCTTAAAATGATAATTTTTAGCCGCATCCAAAAATGGGGGAATTTTGGGGAAAGTCCCTGAAATTCAAAATTGGAATCCTCTTGAGCACTGGGTTTAAATTATCCGACATTGCCCGAATTGTTTTGGAACTCATTTTTTCTCTATGCGATCATCGATTGACACCTGGACCTTTTTCCACTTAATTTTTTCTTTTTTTTTCGGTTGTTTAAGCCGCACCGTAGTGCAGTATCCAATTTTTTGTCAAACAAACTCTTCAATTCATGGCTTCCTCGTTTATAAATACAGTCACCTGCCTCAGAGATCCAGGAATTAAGTTTCCTCATAATTTTACATTTTTTTACTCGATAAGTTGCTGTATCATTCTGAATCATAAGAAATATTAATGTAAGTCCTTTAAGTGCACTTGGACAAACCAATAATTTATTCATTATTTTTATAATTAATTAATTATATTATTTAATTGATATTTATCATTATTATGTTGTATTAATTATATTTGAATGATCGCTGTTATATCGAGTGAAAAAAACAGCATTAGATGTTGCGGCAAGATGTGGTACATATATCCAGAAAAAGTCAGTGCAGTTGCAAGAGGCTACTCTCTCTCTTTTGAAAGAACAAATTATTGAAACATATTAATCATTCACTCACAAATAAAAAATTCAGCAATATATTCCGCCCCAATGCCATAATCATATGGTCATATCCTGAATTTTGAAGCTGTAAACTTTGCATCATTGAAACGGGACTAAAAAAAAATGTCCTAGCTTTTTTCATCTTATCTTAAAGTCGCTTATCATCGGCTTTGTGGCTTAAGATCTGATCTGAAAAGTGTTTTATTCCTTAGATCTATTCTAATCACCTAAAACAAATTTATCTGCCCAAAATTTTTTTTTCCCAAACGAATTCAAGTCTTCTGACGTTTAATTTTTTTTTTTTTTTTACTCTTACTTCTAGGTATGTATTAAGAAGGATATTGCGCAGAGCTGTCAGATACGCAACTGAAAAGTTGAATGCCAATCCTGGTTTTTTCTCATCCCTAGTTCATACTGTTGTTGATTTGTTAGGAGGTGCTTTTCCAGAGGTATGTTCTAGTGTAATTCCTCAGTAAGTTATTCTTACTCATAATTTTATACTTATCCTGATGTTTCTCTATTTTTAGACAAAAGTCTCTAACTTACTGGATTTTTGGCGTCTTTGAAATTTTTTCTCGGGTAAAATTTGATTAAATGAAAAATGGAACAGAGCCAGTATTCTCATTTTTACATATTTTCTGAAAGTGTATTAGGAAAGAACTGTGCAGGTAACCCATTGCTATGATATCACGTTAAGTCAATTTTTTTCTCGGTGAAAATTTTACTCGAAGGGTGAATGCTCACTGGTCCCACTTGCGGGGTTGACTGTAGAATTTTTATTCTTATTTGAGATGAGAATATTTTAAAGTATTTGTTACCTAGTTGCTTCACATTTATAGATTTATCATTCTAACTGCACTACTTGTTTCAGAAGCTCAGATTTTACTAAATTTTTATAATATTCAATTTCATACTCACTACCTACTAATTGCTTTTCCTTGCGTTTTTAGGTTAACAAGGATCCTCAATCAATAATCGATGTGATTAATGAAGAGGAAGAACAATTTCTAAAAACTTTGTCCCGCGGTCGAGGTCTTTTGAATCGCGAAATCAGCAAACTAAAAGGATCCAAAGTATTGCCTGGTATGTCTCAGATTCTTTTGCAAATCAGTTCTCTTCTTGTCCATATCTTGTTTGACCCTCTTGCCTGGAATTCAGTACTCTGTGCATGTTTTCCTGATTGAGATATTCGCGGTGGTTTTTGAAATTTTCATTAACTGAACAAGTAGTCTCAAGAATTTTCTCCAAGTGAAGTAAGTCTTGAAGTGAATTGAAAGTGATTTTGACTTTGAAAGCAAAAGCTGAAACAAGTAATCTTCTTTGTTTTTTTTTAAAAAAAAAAAAATTTAAATATGATTTTTAATAAGGTGCTGAAGGAATCCGGGGCTCACACTATTTTGTGGGGAAACTATTTTACCACCTTTTTACTCACAATTCCGGTCACGTTTCTTTATATTTTTTTTTTTTTTTTTTTTTTTTTTTTTTTTTTTTTATATGATTTTTAATAGGTGATGTTGCTTGGCGTCTTTATGATACTTACGGCTTCCCAGTTGATTTAACACAACTAATGGCTGAAGAAAAAGGACTGTCAGTGGATTTACCTGGCTATGAAGAAGCAAAGAAACATGCTCAAGTAAGCAATCTATTCGCGATTCTCTTTTGACTTGGAAAAGTAGTAAATTTGGAATTTATGTTCATTTATGAAATAGGCAATAACAGTCAGGATGTATGGCATATCTATTCATCACTCAAAAATTTCAGCTCTAATACGTAGTAAAACTACCCATAGTAATGAGACAAGATTGTTTTGTTTCACAAAATTGTTTGCCATTGGCAATCATAAGTTCTTAATCCATTGACTTAAAGCGACATCATTGAGCCATCTCATGCCACGCTGGGCCAGATTTGAAGAAATAGCTCAGAGCTGTAGATCAACTCGACATAGATGTTTACAATATTTTGATAATTTTACCATGGATTGCATTCTCATCAATGTTCAAATGAATCGTGTGATCAACTTAAAACTTGCTCGTGGGGTAATTTATTGTTTTGTTACAGTATTTTATTAAGGTATGTTAACCATTGGATCACGCCAAACAAAACAAGGCACCAAATTGTAGCCGGGTGCCAGCTTGTGTTCTGAGTGAGAAATGACATGGCCGTTTTTGGCCATCAGACCTATATTTTTCTGTTTGTTTGGTCTATACTTAATGAAAAAAATTGGTTCCAGATGCTCGTAGAATCCCTTCATTGAGATAAAGTACCACCTGGTAATTTATCTCATTGAAGGGATTCTACGATCATCTGACACCAATTTTTTTCATGAAGCACAGACCCTCCTCTGTCGAATAGAGCAGGTATGAATGATTTTGTGATAACAGGAATAGCTATAATGTGCAACACCTTAAGAATAATAGTGCACCAATTTTGACCCAATTTTATCATTAATTATGAAGTTATTGAACTTTTTTTCTCCAACCTTGGCAGGAACAATTTTGATCTAGTACAAAGTTATGGTGATTAAAAAATAAGCCAATAAATCAGGTACGTATCAGCTCCTCCGGTAGAACTGCAAGAGGTTACGGCAAACAGGGCGTCTTTGCAAAATTGTGTCAGTTATGTAACAGACATTTGAAACTGTGAAATGGAAAATGATAGAAAAGATGAAATCTGGCAATTGTTGAGCTTCCAGGTAGTAGTATCAGTGCAGCCTTAAAAGTTTTTGAAACTTCGGGCTCTCTCTTGAAGTTTAATCAAGTTAAATTAAGGATTCAGAGTACTCAAGGATCAATGCCACACACCTCCAAATCACTGGTTTTTCTCCTAAATAAAGTTTTTCTTTTAAATAAATACGACTTACCAGTAACAGTTTGCTCAAGTAGACTCGAACAAACAATTTATCAGGTGACATTTTTTAAACTCCTGGCTCCTGGGCGAGTAAAACACTCTACAGCCAACAATAGTTTGGCTACAGCCATACTGTGTTGGCAAATGTAAAGAAACGTCTTTTTAATGGCTCTCCTCGCTTCCAAATCAAAGTTTTAGTTCAAAATTGCAATTTTTATGAATATTAAAAACCGCTTTTGAGAATTTTGCCCGGACAATTTATGATTATAACTACTTTACGGTTGAAAATTACTTACCTTTTTGCCTCAAAATTGGGGTTGGAAAAGCATACCCAACGAGACGTTTTTCAAAGTCTCATATTTTAAAATACAATCGTAAATTTTCATGTTTTTTGCGCGAACAAGTTCATGATCATCATTGTTTTAGATTTATACCCTACGTTTTCGAGCATTTTGCCCTTTGTTGTTGATAGCTCATAGTGACATGACCATTTCTGTCATCATGATATCACTTTTATGCAGGAAATGCTCAAACATGCGCCTGCTTGGGCGTGTGAAAAGTGGAAAGGCTCTTAAAAATGTGGAAGGAGGGATAATTTTTAGAAGTTGAAAGTTTCAAATCAAAGGAACCAAGTAAAACAAGGTTCTCACTTTTGAAATCTAAGGACACTTTTTTGGAAAGATGAAAAAAATGTGGAAAGCAGGCAGGTGGGCGCGTGGATAATAGGAACCTGAGGGATTCATGAAGCAACTCGGACAGGCCCCCCACATCCATCGATGGGCCCCAGGGTCGGATCAGTCAGCGGGGCCCCCTTTTAGTAAACTATCGAAGGGGTGTCTGGGGGGGACCGCCCCCTAGCAGGAGGGGGGTTTTGGGGGCCACCCCCGAAAATTTTTTAAACTTTTGCCTCCAATCTGAGTAATTTCATGCTATTTCTGCACTTATTTAGATTCGTTTATGCAAGATTTTTGCCCTTTCAAAATCTCAGAATAATTGCAGTTGTTTGAAAATTTGTGATGAGCCGCTATGAAAAAAAACAACATTGGACGTATAATTTTTTTATATATGTATGGAAAAAAAATAATTTCCAAATTAAAAGGTCTTTAATACCTAAAGTGAACCATTCAATCAGTTCTGACTTGGGTAAAATTTTACCTTTGATGAAAGAAAATGAAAATAGAAGGGATAAAAACATATTATAAATTCAGCTTTTTGCACAAATGAAAACATATATCTGAAATTAGATGGGGACAAAGTTTTGGCAAAGGATAGCTTATCCCAGGGGCCGGCGCAAGCCTGTCTGGGCCTCGAGCAAAATCTCAATCAACAAAATTATTTTACTTTTGCCAGCAGATTGGTAATACAAATGGGAACTTTTGTGCTTCTGGGAGGTCCTACCGCGGGGCCCTCCCAGGCCCCGGGCCCCGGAGCTGGAGTCCTGGCAACCCCCCCGAAGTGGGGGCCCTGAACTCGGAAAGTAAGCTGAGTCACAGATATCCAGGGTTCGGCTGATTTTTGCCCTTCACAATACCCCTCCTTCCTCTAGTATAATAATCAATTTGCTGACTATCTACCTCTTGTAACAAGGAACTACTTTTTCTGGCTCAACCATAGAAGCACCTATCTGAACAGGGAAGCCCAGTTACAGAAATCCAGGGTGGAGCTAATTTTTGCTCTTCATATCACCCCTTCTTATGTTTAATATGTACCTAATTTGCTGATTAACTAAAGGGGTTTATTCAAAAACGGCAAAAAAGCCCCCCCCCCCCTGGATTTGAACCAATTTGTAGTATGTTATTCTACTACATTGGATACGCCTCTCTGCAAAAGAGGTTGTTCCAAAAACGCCGATTTTGGCCCCCCCCTGGATTCGCCCCAAACTTTGCTCAGATGTTGTACTAAGTGTCCCCGACGCTTGGGAAAAATTTCAGCCCCCTCGGATAATTAGGGGGGAGGGGGCAGGGGGGCAAAGTTGCAATTTTTTTAAAACTTTAAAAATCGATATCTCGCGAACGGTTTGAGTGTAAGTGTTGCGGTTTGCGCTAAAAAACGTTAAAATATATTCTCTACAAGAATATTCATGCTGTTTGCAAGGTTGCGTAATTTATCGCGGTCATAAATCGATTTTTTCGATTTTGAAGGTTCGACTTTTTTTCGTTTTTCGTCTCCCCTCTCCAGGCGATCGTTGCTACGTGAATGAAAACCGGTTGAGGTGATTCTCCATGAAATTCTGCATCTGCTACACTTTGTTTGACCTTGGGGAAACGATTCGTTCGTGAGTTAAAGCGATTTTTCTGCGCGTTACCGGTTACGCGCGGGCGGCATATCGGCGGCGCTCCATCCCGCACGGGCGAGGCAGAGGTTGTTTCACCGCTAGGGCCTTATATTCATGCTGTAGGCTGTAATTATCGATATTTTCTCCTCCCCCACCCTTCCCCTCCAATAAATATTGTTTTAATACTTCGTTATACAGGGTGTCCCAGACCATCCGTAACAGGTCTTTTTCTCGGTTGGTTTAGGTAGTACGAAGTGGGGGACCGCGGGGTTATATAGGGAATTGACCCCAAGGAATCCGAATTTCACGGTCCCGAAACCCCCCATGCCCCCCCTTTGGGAGGTAGGTGCCCCCCCTTGGGGTCATGATCCCAAAAGTCGGGAGACATTGTGCCTCCCCCTTTTACGCCCCGAGGGTGGCTAGGGGGGCCTCGGGACCGTAAAAATCGGATTCCTTGGGGTCGATTACCTGGGAAATCATCTTTTTCCCGAGGGTCTACGTCAATTTGCGCCCAAAAATGATCTCTTCAAAACGGGGACATCGGCCTCCTCCATAATTTCTCTTTGGTGGAAAATTGACGTAGATTCTCCGGAAAAAGATGATTTCCCGGGTAATCGACCCCAGGGAATCCGATTTTTACGGTCCCGAGGCCCCCCTAGCCACCCTCGGGGCGTAAAAGGGGGAGGCACAATGTCTCCCGACTTTTGGGATCATGACCCCAAGGGGGGGCACCTACCTCCCAAAGGGGGGGCATGGGGGGTTTCGGGACCGTGAAATTCGGATTCCTTGGGGTCAATTCCCTATATAACCCCGCGGTCCCCCACTTCGTACTACCTAAACCAACCGAGAAAAAGACCTGTTACGGATGGTCTGGGACACCCTGTATAACGAAGTATTAAAACAATATTTATTGGAGGGGAAGGGTGGGGGAGGAGAAAATATCGATAATTACAGCCTACAGCATGAATATAAGGCCCTAGCGGTGAAACAACCTCTGCCTCGCCCGTGCGGGATGGAGCGCCGCCGATATGCCGCCCGCGCGTAACCGGTAACGCGCAGAAAAATCGCTTTAACTCACGAACGAATCGTTTCCCCAAGGTCAAACAAAGTGTAGCAGATGCAGAATTTCATGGAGAATCACCTCAATCGGTTTTCATTCACGTAGCAACGATCGCCTGAAGAGGGGAGACGAAAAACGAAAAAAAGTCGAACCTTCAAAATCGAAAAAATCGATTTATGACCGCGATAAATTACGCAACCTTGCAAACAGCATGAATATTCTTGTAGAGAATATATTTTAACGTTTTTTAGCGCAAACCGCAACACTTACACTCAAACCGTTCGCGAGATATCGATTTTTAAAGTTTTAAAAAAATTGCAACTTTGCCCCCCTGCCCCCTCCCCCCTAATTATCCGAGGGGGCTGAAATTTTTCCCAAGCGTTGGGGACACTTAGTACAACATCTGAGCAAAGTTTGGGGCGAATCCAGGGGGGGGCCAAAATCGGCGTTTTTGGAACAACCTCTTTCATGGCCTAAAACGAATTTTTTTCTCGCAACAGTGTTGCCAAGTGTAAAACTGTAAAGTTCCATATTGTGATGACCCTGATTACGGGTCGATAAGGGGACGTAGCCGGAGCGTCGTGATTTCAGCCGACGGGACGTCTCTAAATAGAGATATCTCGAGCTGACATCACAAGGCTCCAGGGGGGGACTGTTGCGTCGGACAGTGGTCGCCCGTGGTCTCTCTATGGAGAGAGATCTCGTGCAGACCACCTACGCAACACAACAGTGGGTGCTCTTTGGGGGGCAGCTGTTGACCCTCCCCAAAATAAAAGACGTAGTCAATAAAGAGAGAAAGAGTCTGTCCTTGACTGAATTTCGATTTATTTTCTGAGTTGGCTATTCTATCAGTTGAAGAGCTCAATAAGACTGAAAGGATAGCTAAGATGGGAAAAAAGACTCAAAAAATAAGGACGGTGTTGAGAATGAACCGGAGTCGTTCGTCTGACTTATCGGCTCGTCGATGACGCGCAAGTGCAGGCTTGAGCCCTCAGCACAAGCACCAGACGACCGTGTAGCGAAGACTGGCTTTCCTCGAGCGTCGGAGCAAGTGGCCCAGCTCCCTACGCTCGGGTCGGCCGGCGGCGCGCATGCGCATTTCCCAGCGGACATCAGCGTTTTTCCTAAGGTCGGTGCTCCTCCTGACGTTGCCAATTTCCCCCTCTAATGATGAATGGACCACTAGACAAAGTACGAATTTAAGCATTCTGATACATGATATTTGACCAAAATGTCACGTAGAACACGATTCGCGCACTGAAAATTACTAAAACTAACTCCTAACGAAGATATTAACGTTTTTATTTTACATCGGTTACGGGGAATTTGAACTGCCCGCTCACAAGAAACTCAGAGCTCTACGTGAGTCAAAGTGCGCACTACAACGGTTTCAGTAAGCTTCTCCGTCGAGCAATGTTCATGTCTCACCATGTGTTGTTCAAACTATAAGCAATTTGCTATAACTGAGCCGAAGTGTCAAAATTGAGTTTGCCAGATTTTTATATCGCAAAGACTATCATGGTACGTTTAGCGCGCGATGTGACTCACGTAGAGCATTGAGTTTTCATGAGCAGGAGGTTTGAATTCACGCATCAACAAACATTAAATATCATCGTTAGGCGTAGATTTCAGTAATTTACGTTGTGCGCATCGTGTTTAACGTGAAATTTTGGTCAAGAAACATGTATCTGAATGCTGAAATTCGTACCTTGTCTAGTGGTCCATTGTCTGGGAAAATTAGGTGTCTCCTCACAATATCTATCGAACGAAAAAAGATTTTGAAGTGCGGTTTGCGCGAAATTTTTTCTAAAAATACGTCCTTTATACGTCCGACTACGTCATTAAATTGGAGATTTCAATGTTGCCATATTTCATTTTCTTCTCGTGATCAATTTCTTTTTAAATTAGGGTACATCGTCAAATGCCTCTTTTCAAAATCAAACAATAAATTGTTCATTATATAATTCCTACTTTTCCATTTCTTTGATGCATTATACCTCCCAGGGAAACGACGGGGAAGGGAGTTACGAGCAATTTAACGATGACGCTCCGCGCGCAGCGACAAAAGTCCGGGCGCCGATCGCCGCTCCGAGTTGTCTGCACACTTCTTCTCGTCCACCGACAAGCTGCCAGCGGCGTGGCATGTCAACCCTACTCTTCTCCGACCCATTTTTCCCCTCCTCAACTCCCCCTCCCCCCATAAAAAGTATGGTAAACCCCTAAAATGCCTGTAAAAATGCCTAATGGTTCGATGTCAGCCTAGAGATCTCAGGAAAACCTTAGATAAATTTTCAGTGCGTAGCTCTCTGCTAGTTGAAAGTCATAATTTTGTGACTTCTCTACACAACTACCCAGGACCCACCACGGGGAGGTGGTTACGTGTTGAGTCCCGCTCGTGCCTCCCCATCCACCCAATCAGTGAGGCACCGATGAAAAAATGAGAAATACACGGGTTAAATTAAACAACAACGATAAAACTAGAAAGAACTCCTTGAATTGAATTGAATATTTGCTTCAAGAAAATTTATCAAAAACGGATAAAGTAGGCTAATGCCTCCACTACCGTTTTAGGAAAGGAAACGCTCAACTCCATATAGCAACGGCCACACTATCATATGCTGTCCTCGCCATGCATCTGACAATATGTATCTCTGTCGTATTGGGGAAAACACTGATCAGTCCAGCACATTAAGGGAACATTAAGTAAATCACATTGCAAAGAAATTCAAATTTGGGAATATAAAGATATGTGTCAGTATTTTGGCACATATCAAATAAGTTTGGCAATGTCATACAAGGCGGACCATTTCCACAACGGAAAATTTGAGTCCCAGGTATGTCGCGGGGACTTCCTACGCAACTTAAATAAAAATAAAGTCAATATAAAAAATCCTTTTTTGGTTCCCTGTAAGTTTTCATCGCGCCATCAATCTCAGAAAGTACATTGACTCTTCATCCTTCTCGATCTAGACAAATCGGCACAATCTTCCCTTATTACTTCTCACGGGAGGCATTAGCCTGCTTTTTCCGTTTTTGATAAATTTTCTTGAAGCAAATATTCAATTCAATTCAAGGAGTTCTTTCTAGTTTTATCGTTGTTGTTTAATTTAACCCGTGTATTTCTCATTTTTTCATCGGTGCCTCAATGATTGGGTGGATGGGGAGGCACGAGCGGGACTCAACACGTAACCACCTCCCCGTGGTGGGTCCTGGGTAGTTGTGTAGAGAAGTCACAAAATTATGACTTTCAACTAGCAGAGAGCTACGCACTGAAAATTTATCTAAGGTTTCCCTGAGATCTCTAGGCTGACATTGAACCATTAGGCATTTTTACAGGCATTTTAGGGGTTTACCATACTTTTTATGGGGGGAGGGGGAGTTGAGGAGGGGAAAAATGGGTCGGAGAAGAGTAGGGTTGACATGCCACGCCGCTGGCAGCTTGTCGGTGGACGAGAAGAAGTGTGCAGACAACTCGGAGCGGCGATCGGCGCCCGGACTTTTGTCGCTGCGCGCGGAGCGTCATCGTTAAATTGCTCGTAACTCCCTTCCCCGTCGTTTCCCTGGGAGGTATAATGCATCAAAGAAATGGAAAAGTAGGAATTATATAATGAACAATTTATTGTTTGATTTTGAAAAGAGGCATTTGACGATGTACCCTAATTTAAAAAGAAATTGATCACGAGAAGAAAATGAAATATGGCAACATTGAAATCTCCAATTTAATGACGTAGTCGGACGTATAAAGGACGTATTTTTAGAAAAAATTTCGCGCAAACCGCACTTCAAAATCTTTTTTCGTTTGATGGATATGGAACTTTACAGTTTTACACTTGGCAACACTGTTGCAAGGAAAAAATTCGTTTTAGGCCTTGAAATTTTGCAGAAAGGCATATCCAACGTAGTAGAATAACATACTAGGAATTACTTCAAATCCGGGGAGGGGGAGGGATTTCTAACCGTTTTTTAATAAACGCCTTTTGCAATGAGGGACCATTGATTCCAGCCTTCATCGTAGTACTTATCTGCATAAGGAAAGAAGTGACTCAAGAGGATGGCATCATGCAAAAAGAAAGCTGTCGAAGGAATGCCTGGTCTCAGCTTCCAAGCGTCTGTGTCATGAGAGACAAGGAGAAGAGGAGTAAGTTTGAGTAACACCTCATCGTCAGATTGACTGTGATTAACGGTTTCTTTCTGCTAAACGTGCTATTGGAGCTCTACTTTTTGCAAAAAGGAGCCACGGGTTGGCTCCTGCAGGATCACTATGTATTGTCAACAAGGTCTTACCCGCACTGGTGCGCTGATTCCTGAAACGCAGTTGCTTTGAAATGAACATATTTCCTCTTTGTCATTGCGTCTAAACGTAGTTTCTGAAGTGAGCCAAAAACAGTAGTTTGTTTCTCAAAATGTATGTAGTTGGATTTAAGTTTGAATCTATAAGATCAGTACAAAATTGCAGTTTGTAAAATCTCTCTTCTTTCGGTTTGCAGGTGTTAAGTCAAGGAAAATCCGGAGGAATTGAGGATTGTATCAGTTTAGATGTGCATGCAATCACTGAATTGCAGAACAGAGGAATCCCTGTCACAGATGACTCTCCCAAGTATGATTATTCAACCGATCCTAATCCAACATCACCTTATGGTTGGTTTGCTGTGACAATGTTTTATTTTTTCATATGCCTCTATTATCCTTCCTCAACTCAAGTCAAAAAGACTCAGATTGTAGGATTTGGAAGGTATGTCAGATGAGAAAGCATTGGAGAAATGGAAAAAACAAGAAAAAGAAAAGAGATTTGTAGAATGGAGGGGTATCGATAAGGGCCTTTTTTGCCCCCCCCCCCCTTAGAATCTGGAAATTTATGCAGGTTTTCCAAGTTGACTCAATGTAGTTTACGGAAATAATCATTATTTAGTCCATTGGCCACTGGATACATGTTAAACGGTTGCCTAAACATAAGTCTGCAGGCGTATTTTAGCGAAAATTCGTGTTTTTCTATCACTCCCAGGCTTTTTTGACACCGTGCGCATCATCTAACCAAAACAAGCTTTTGATATGTTATCAAGGTGGCTTTAGGACACATTTTAATCCTAGTTTGGTTTTAGTTAGATGATGCGCTCATAGTTAAATAAAAACTTTTTCAAAAGTCGACTTTTAAGGGACATCCGCAAAAATCTGAGGGAAACACGTCTCAAACTGTATAGACGCTACGTATATTATCAAGGGCAGTTATCAAGCCTTGTTAGACTCTTACAAGGAGATTTCCTTTAATTGTGTTTAAAGAAAAAGAGGGTTATACAAAATCGGCGATTTTACCCGCCTCTTGGATTTTGCCCGGAGTTGGATATGTTGTTCCCTATCACAAGACACGCCTTTTTCCGGCGTTGGCAAGTTCACCCGAAATTTTCCCCGCGCGCTACAGCGTTGCCAAGTTGAAAACAGGCGAATTCCGTAAGTGGCGTTAAAATTGAGCTATGAAGTTGCGGTTTTAACGAAAATTCTCTAAAAATTGCGCACTTTTAGGAAATGACCATCAATTTAATGACGCATTAATTTTGACATGCATTGTTGCCAATTTTTCGATTTTTAAATTCGACTAATTTTACAAATCCGCAAATACCCAAAAAAGCTATCTTCAAATTTGAATAAAAAGTTGTCTAATCGATAGTTTGTTTGATTCCGCATCCATCGATATATTATAGCTCGCTTGGAGCGACGACGCTTTTTGAGTCCGGGCGGATAGAGATTTTACCCCTCAAAAACACAGGTCAGCATTAATTCCATGGTTTCCTGTGTAATTTTTGGCGCTGAATCCGAATTTGACCATTTCTTAACAAAATTGTCACCAAGAAGTTGCCAAATTTGGCAAAAATGGCTTAAAATCGGCCTTTTTAGCGGATTATTACCAGTGACTTGCCAGGAGTTGATCAGACGACAAAATTGGTTATTTCCACAGTTAACACTCGTTGAACTTCCTACAAGCTGAGTCAAATTCTTTTTGTTCACGGCAAAATTAAACGCGCGACAAGTAGCAAACTGAAAAAAAAGACTCCAAAATCGGCGCTTTTTGCGGTTTTTGTCCTAAGTTTCTTGTTTCCGACTGCATGAAAATTTCTGAGGAAAATCTGAATTACACAGAGTGTAACGACAAACTATTGTATTGTTACATACATAGATAGGAGCTGCTTTAACAGTGGTCTCTCGCGCCCCGCAAAGCCTAACCGCCATAGTTCCTTGTCCTCCCACAGGTCCCCAGTAATTTGGAGCGCTTTTGTTCCTTTTTAAGCACCTTATTGCCCTTTCCTGGGCGGCTTCTTCACATTGGTATTGTTACTTTTTCTATTAAACTCCATTTTCTCAGAATTATAAAATAAAATTATATACCGAATATAGGGCGATGAATAATAACGGTCAAATACCGCCAAAATTCAATGATTCTACGTAATTTTGGCAATATTGCATTTGCAATGCGTCTTGTCTTGTTTTAATGAAGTCAGTCTGAGGAGTACATTTTATTCATCAATTTTTAGTAGAAAGTTTTCCATTACTGTTTCAAAATGTGATTCATTGACACGATTCGACAAAACTCACTGTTTTATGAATTTTTCCTCTCTGGAATAAATACCCTAGTAATTAGTTATATCTAAGTTGAAAATTAAATTATTCTACAAAAGCGTATTATTTTGCACGAGAGATACATTTAAATAATTTAAAAATAAGAAGTGAACAAAGAATATAGGACAAATATCAAAAAACCAGCGAAAATTCAAGTATTTTGTTTAAGCTTGGCAACATCGGAATATGTTCGGTTTTATTGTATTGTTCATTTTTATTAAATTCTTCTCATGTTCTTCATTAGTTTAGTCAAGAAACATTCTCTTAATCGGAAAACAAGAAACTTAGGACAAAAACCGCAAAAAGCGCCGATTTTGGTGTCTTTTTTTTCAGTTTGCTACTTGTCGCGCGTTTAATTTTGCCGTGAACAAAAAGAATTTGACTCAGCTTGTAGGAAGTTCAACGAGTGTTAACTGTGGAAATAACCAATTTTGTCGTCTGATCAACTCTTGGCAAGTCACTGGCAATAATCCGCTAAAAAGGCCGATTTTAAGCCATTTTTGCCAAATTTGGCAACTTCTTGGTGACAATTTTGTTAAGAAATGGTCAAATTCGGATTCAGCGCCAAAAATTACACAGGAAACCATGGAATTAATGCTGACCTGTGTTTTTGGAGGTTAAAATCTCTATCCGCCCGGACTCAAAAAGCGTCGTCGCTCCAAGCGAGCTATAATATATCGATGGATGCGGAATCAAACAAACTATCGATTAGACAACTTTTTATTCAAATTTGAAGATAGCTTTTTTGGGTATTTGCGGATTTGTAAAATTAGTCGAATTAAAAAATCGAAAAATTGGCAACAATGCATGTCAAAATTAATGCGTCATTAAATTGATGGTCATTTCCTAAAAGTGCGCAATTTTTAGAGAATTTTCGTTAAAACCGCAACTTCATAGCTCAATTTTAACGCCACTTACGGAATTCGCCTGTTTTCAACTTGGCAACGCTGTAGCGCGCGGGGAAAATTTCGGGTGAACTTGCCAACGCCGGAAAAAGGCGTGTCTTGTGATAGGGAACAACATATCCAACTCCGGGCAAAATCCAAGAGGCGGGTAAAATCGCCGATTTTGTATAACCCCCTTTAATTTTCCTTACAAACAACTGTGCAAATAACGGATTTTGAAGTAGTGGAGGCATATTTTCACTAAACGCATGACATCAACTTGTTAAGTTCGTCGATGCTTAGGTGAGGAAAATCATGTAAGCCACTTGCTTCCATTTCTTTCCATACAGTTCTTGCTCTGGTCCAGACCTCCTGTAGCACTTTTGCCTGCAATTTATTAGGAGTCTTAGATAATCGCAACATTCTGTGTGCAATTATTTGTAACTATAAGCGCATCATCTAACCAAATTGGTTTCAGGACACATTTCAACCCTAGTTTGGACTAGGGTTAAAATGTGGCCTAAAGCCTCCTTGATAACATATCAAAAGCTCCTTTTAGTTAGACAATGCGGTCGGTTTCAAAAAAGCCTCGGAGTGATAGGGAACACGAATTTTCGCTAAAATACGCCTGCAAACCTATGTTTAGGCAACCGTTTAACACGTATCCAGTGGCCTACGGACTAAATAATGATTATTTCTGTAAACTACATTGAGTCAACTTGGAAAACTCGCATAAAGAACCCCGCACAGACCTTATGGGCAATGGCTCTCCCTAGAATCTGATGAAACTTGGATATGTCGCTCAGCTAGTCATTCTGATCAAAAGAGATCCCACGAGGGGTTTTCGAGATATTCGTCGTCTTATGAGCGTAAATTGAGGTTTCGCTGGCCAGAGTATTGTGCGGCGCCTCTTGTGTCCTTCCCTTCCAGTCCACTTCGGCCGCTCTCCGCTTCCGCCTCCCATACCCGAGGCTCGGACTCCGACGCTCACGGTGATAAGACCACCCAGTTCGGCGACGGTGAGCAAAGCCTCGTGAGCGTCGAAGTCCGAGCCTCGGGTATGGGAGGCGGAAGCGGAGAGCGACCGGAGTGGACTGGAAGGGAAGGGCAGAAGAGGAGCCGCACAATAGTCCAGCCAGGGAAACCTCAATTTTCACACATAAAACGGCGAATATCTTAAAAACCGCTCGTGGCATCTCTTTTGGTCTGTGAGAACTTTTGATCAGAATGACTAGCTGAGCAACATAGGTATCCAAGTTTTATCAGATTTTAGAGAGAGCCATTGCCCATAAGGTCTATGCGGGGTACTTTCCAGATATTGGGGGGGGGGGCAAAAAAGGCCCTAATCGATACCCCTCCTTTTAGCTAACTTTACCAGGTGCCTGGACTTTTTCTTCAATAGAAATTTAACTTGCCTCGAAATTAGTCTGATTATTTTTGTTGTTTTTTATGTGATATCGGAAGCTGGATGATTTTCTGATCTTGCGACTTTGATACATGAACAGCAGAATTTTTAAGTGTTCTGAAAAATGGGACCTGAGTGCTAGAAGGAAATAGCCTTGATCATGACCATGACCACTATTCCTTCGAGGCTGGCTAGATCAAATCTGAAAGCAAAAGCCGTGAATTTTTGAAGAAGCTTGAACGGACTGAATAAATCTTATGTTTATATTTATCTTCAATGGTGGGATGATTTTTTTGTCTGCTTCATTGTATATTTTCCCGAAGAGATCTTTCATTAAGAGCCTACACTGATATTCTATTTACTTGCCATTTTTAATTAATTTAGAGTTAGAAAGATTAGATTTAAAAAAATTCATTATTTTCATTATATGTTAGAGGAATCAGTCTTTAACCAAAAGATTCTAGCCTATTAATATTTCGTTAAGTAGAGGAATTATAATGAAATCACTCTATTCCTCAGGAAAAGTATCTGTTTCTTGATGCACCACTAAGAGCTTGATGCAAAAACGGCTTTTTTCGCCCCCCTCTGGAATTTCTTCAGACTTCGTCCATTGATTACTCATACTTGAGTGCTTCTTCTCCCAAATTTTCAGACCCCTAAAAAACTTTGGGGAGGCGCTAGGGGGGATAGAAGGCAGAACCGGTAGACCTCGATATCTCTCGGACGACGAAACATTTCGAGGTCCGGTTTGGACAAAAAATCGTCTAATATTTCATACTTTATAATTTTAAAGGTCAAAATTCCGAAATCACATTTTTAAGTTAACATATGAGCTTTTTTCCAGTTTTTGGGTCTAGAAAATTTCCTTTAAGCAAAGAACTTACAAAGATCTCAATTTTTTATTTGAACCAAAACCAGTTTTTAAAATGTTAATCTTTTTCCGCATCCAACGAGTGGTCCATTAAGCTGGGGAGCCTAGGGTGCGTCAAAAAAAATGAAAGTCTGAAATGTTGCGCTCCCCAGGCGGCAATCGATGACGTTTGGTAAAAAAACGTTTTTGCCAAATTTTGGGCTAATTTCAACCATTTTAAATGGTGCCAACGGTCAATTTTGTGGTGAAATTCTGGTTTTTCGACTTAGACCACGATTTTATACAAAAAACCCGATTTTACGCTGAAATCGTGCGTTTACGGGCAAAATGCCACATAACTCAAGTTGTAGAGGATGAAATTTCACTCTAGAAAAACGTCTTTTCAAACAAAAAAAATCAAATCTGACAAGCAAAACGCACTCCGGTATTTTATTTTTTGGTCCTCAGAATTTCTGAGGCCTTACAAAGCACCGCTATTAAAGACTCAATCCTTACCAAATTGAATCGAAAATGGGTATAAATGAACTGTAGGTAAGTGCTAAGGATACACATGTCATCAGAACATCCTCTGTTTTAAAAAAACGTCCCATTTTTTTACGCATTTCTCAAAAAAGTATACGACCCGAAAAGCAGGATACTGAAATTATTGCCTTCGACATAGTTGGTAAGTTAAGATACTAATAGAGGTTCGAGTCAATTTTCTTCAGATGAAAAATCGAACGTTTTAGTAAGAAGGAGAAGAAGTGGACGAAATGGTGGAGATGAAAACCGTCTGTCCAAGTCACTATAACTGCAGCGCAATCCTTCCGCCGCGGTGCGCCGCGCGAATGTCTGACCAGTTGCATACATGCCTAGTCTCGAGGAGTTTTAAACACACCAGCGGGGCGGGAGAATATTTTTCGACTTCAAGGTCAACGAAGATGAAGCTATCCCCACCACTTTCCCCGCCAGTCGCCTGAGCGGCCAATCAACTGTTCTTACGTATAACGCCTTGAAACCGCAGACGGGTGAACAGCTAGGCACCTTCAGTACCCCTCCGATATTTTGTGCCCTCAGTCTTGGTGTCGCTGACGTTCTCTTTCGCGCAATAGTGTGTGAGTTTCTTTATTTGATCGAGAAGTGGCAATAGAGTGCAAATTAAGATGCAGCAAGCAATTTAAAGATCATTACACAGTGAACGTGCAGTTTTAAATTTAGATATCGGATTGCGGAATAGTGCGATTAAAGATGCGAATAAAGAAGTATGCGAAGCTTTTAGAGCCTAAATCGGAAATTACTGCCGAAAAGTATCCGTCTAGAGGGCAAGTGCTCAGTAATTTACTGTACGAACTTAATGTTAAAAAACAATATCTGTCACAAAGTGTGGAAAATGTCATTGACAGAGTGATACCTTTTTGGGTTAAGGCTCGAAGTCCCACATTAAGAAAGGACAAGTGCAAAAAAAAATTGATACAGCTGTACCAAGAATACAGGAATATTCAACGAATCGTAAATAAGAAAAATGCGTCGAAGTATGAAGCAGCTTTTACGAACAGTTTACACCATTTATTTGAAATTGACAGTTCTGATGCTTTAGCGTGTATGAGCGTAGAGGACAGGCCATATTTGCTGTCTGAAAAAGAAAAAGCTAGAAGGGAAAATCAAAACTCGCAAAAAAAGGAAAAAAAGGTGGATAAACAAGTGTTACAGGAAGAATTACCAGGTGAAGGATATGCTGATAGAAGATATCTTGCGTCAAATGAACTTGAAGCTGCACGGAAGCAGATGAAAAAAAAGAAGCGTACCCTTCGGGAAGAAAGACAAAAGCAAAAAGCCGAAGCATATGCTAAGAGACTCTCTGAAAAAATTATATTGTCAGGATCGTCTTCACAAGATTCTAAACCGTCATCTCAAGGAAGTGTTTTTGAGTCTAAGTTACAATCGCCCAAGAGAAAGCGGTTGCAAATATTAGACGAGGAATTGAGTTCAACTTTAGATCGCACGAGAACCTCCAATCGAAACGCCACTTTTCTCATCGCAAAAACCGCTAAATCAATGGGTGTTGATGTGAAGACTCTAACTGTTAGCGAGGCATCTGTGAGACGAAGAAGAGCTGAGCTAAGAAAAAATTCTGCTCAACGAATTCAAAAGAACTTTAATCCTGACGTGCCTCTCACAATACATGTAGATGGCAAACTTCTACCTCCATTGATGGGTGGTAAGAAAAAGGTTGACCGATTACCAATTTTAGTCACAGGTCACAACATTGATCAACTTTTAAGTGTACCTGCATTGCCCTCTGGCAAAGGTATCTTTATAGCTGAGGCAATTTGCCAAACTGTTCGGGAGTGGAATATAGAGGAGCAAGTCAAATCTATATGCTTTGATACCACGTCCTCAAACACTGGAGTTAAAAGTGGTTCTTGTGTCTGTACGGAGCGAATCTTAGGTAAACGTCTCTTATATTGTGCTTGTCGTCATCATGTTTCTGAACTCCTTCTCGATGCTGCAGTCACTTCTCGCATAGGCAAGAGGAACCAACCTGAAAATCCTATTTTTACCAACTTCCGTGACAAGTGGGAGGATATCAATCCAAGCACCTATACGACGGCCCTAGACGACCCTGACATTCTTGAAAATGTGCAGCCTATCAAGACAGAACTTTTAAACTTCTGTTTCGAGCAACTTTCGGTGAGTTTTCACTAAAATACATTAACATTTTTTCTTCTTTTGGCCAAGTTTTTTAATTTTTAAAGTTTAAAGATCGTTATTGACGTAAGTGACCTTGTATCTCGATCAATCAAGTTCAATATTTACCCGTTGCTTTTGATGACGTCATTTTTTTTACTTAGAAAACATCTTCCTCTTTAATTTTAATTGTAGGAAGTAGCAAATCACGAGTCGTGCGTCAAGTTTCATCAGTTCAACCATAGTTTAACACACATAATTTTCTCTCTTTTTGTTAAGTATTTACGTGCAGGCATCTGTGCGCACGTGTAATGCTGAGGGCCTGTATTCTTAATAACAAATTCATCGATGCTGTTTTGTATTGTTTGTTTCTAGAAACATAAACATAGAGAAGATTACAGAGAGCTTCTAGAACTTGTGATCATATTTTGCGGAGCAACACCAGAGAGAGGAGTACGATTCAGAAGACCTGGAGCAGTATCAAATGCCCGCTGGATGGCGAAGGCTTTATATATTTTAAAAATGTATATGTTTCAGAAACAATTAACTATGTCCAAAGAACTGTTAGGTCATATTAAAGACATTTGCACTTTCATTGTTTGTATATACGTAAAGTATTGGTTCCAATCGCCGTCGGGGGCAATGGCGCCAAAAAATGACTGTGATTTGTTATCGAGTCTTTTGGCTTATGAAAAAATAAACCTTCCTATTTCTACAGCTGCTTTAGAAAAGTTACTCAATCATCTATGGTATCTGTCCGAAGAATTGGTAGCTTTTGCATTTTTTGATGAGCGGGTCCCCTTCAAAACAAAAATTCGCATGGTGAAGGCCATGGAAAAAGAGAGCTCAACAACTAGTCCTCCAAGGAAAGCATCGCTTGACATTAACTTATTGAGAAGGAAGAAAAACATCTCATTGGAAAATTTCGTAACTTCCAACACGCACAATTTTTTTAATCTACTGAATATCCCTAAGGATTTCCTCAACTCCCATCCTTCCGAATGGAGTCAGCTAGAAAATTATAATGCAGCTTGTAAAATCGTAAAGAGTATGAAAGTCGTCAATGATGCCGCCGAGAGATCGGTGGCATTAATGACGGCTTTCAACAATGCAATAACATCGAAGGAAGACCAAAAGCAATTTCTACTCCTTACTGTCACAGAGAATTTGAAAAAGTATCCCTCAGCAAGGAAGACATTTTTGTTGTAGGCACCTCACTCAAAAATTGTGTCCAAAAATTTGTTCTGCACTATTACTTACTGGATATCCTTTTTTTCGAACGCAATATATCATACATTGAAGTACACGATAACTTTTTCTTTCATGTGCCGCTCCTCTTCGATATGCTGCGGAGGAAAATTCCCCTAAGTTTTGTTGAAATATACCCACTTTAGTATGTTTAAAAATTATGCAAAAAAATGAACGTACCGAATATCTGCAGTCAACCACATAAAAACATAATTGAGGACTACTGAAAATAATAAAACAACATCAGTTTAAGAGAAATAAATGGACTATTTCTATCAAACGGAGCTATGTGCATTATGACGTGAGCCCGGTTATGCACATATTCTTACGGGTCTCAGGACTCATGTCGTAATGCATGTAGTTTCGTTTGGCAGAAATACGTCCAAATGAAGTCCACTTTTCTGAAAAAAAGTGAATTTCGGCAACCTTCTGTAACGTTATTTTAATCTTCTCATACCATGAGAGCGATGATGTGTTTTATTTTTCATCTAAAGTGGGTACTCTGATCTAAAGTCAATTTACTCTTACGTCTGTCAATACTTTAGAGTCCATTTAAGTATTAAGTAAGCCATTTTGTTCAACTTAACCCCACCCCCTCCCCTTAAGGCCATCAGTGAGCCAACCCATCCGCGCCCTTTTGAATTACATGAGCATAACTTGACTCTTCCTCCTTCCAATTAATTTTCTCCAAAGATAACGTAGATAACTGAAAAATAGCCACAAAATTGACTTTTATGGGAGAATATTCTCTTTTTTTTCCAAGTGAAAGGCTTACATCTGGGCTCGACCCCCCCCCCTGTGGCTTACATAATACTTGCACGGCCTGTAAAGTTTTAGTATCTTTCAGGGTCATTTTTTTCAGTATCCTGCTTTTCGGGTCGTATACTTTTTTGAGAAATGCGTAAAAAAATGGGACGTTTTTTTAAAACAGAGGATGTTCTGATGACATGTGTATCCTTAGCACTTACCTACAGTTCATTTATACCCATTTTCGATTCAATTTGGTAAGGATTGAGTCTTTAATAGCGGTGCTTTGTAAGGCCTCAGAAATTCTGAGGACCAAAAAATAAAATACCGGAGTGCGTTTTGCCTGTCAGATTTGATTTTTTTTGTTTGAAAAGACGTTTTTCTAGAGTGAAATTTCATCCTCTACAACTTGAGTTATGTGGCATTTTGCCCGTAAACGCACGATTTCAGCGTAAAATCGGGTTTTTTGTATAAAATCGTGGTCTAAGTCGAAAAACCAGAATTTCACCACAAAATTGACCGTTGGCACCATTTAAAATGGTTGAAATTAGCCCAAAATTTGGCAAAAACGTTTTTTTACCAAACGTCATCGATTGCCGCCTGGGGAGCGCAACATTTCAGACTTTCATTTTTTTTGACGCACCCTAGGGGAGCCAAACGGTTCCGGAGTTATGAGGGATTGAAGTTTCCGCTTACCGCGCCGCGACCTATTTTCGCGCGCTGAAAAGCCGGATTTGACTGTTATTAAATCAGATTGAATGTTCAAACCGTGCATAATGTATTTTTACGGACTCTTGATGGTTGCCGAGTACAGAAATTACAGATACCTCCAAAAAATTTACTTTTTTAAAATTACAGCTCTGTAGCGCTATTTTAAAGGCCCACTGAGCGGCGACCGGCCGCTCAGGGGCCCTGTACGGAGCTGTAATTTTAACAAAGTGAATTTTTTGGAAGGTTCTGTAATTTCTGAACTCGGCGACCATCAATTATATTGATCATAACTCCGGAACCGTTTGGTTCCCCAGCTTAATGGACCACTCGTTGGATGCGAAAAAAGATGAAAAATTTAAAAAACTATTTTTAGTTCAAAAAAAAAATTGAGATCTTTGTAAGTTCTTTGCTTAAAAGAAATTTTCCAGACCCAAAAACTGGAAAAATTTTCATATGTTCACTTAAAAATGTGAATTCGGGATTTTGACCTTTAAAACTATGAAGTATGAAATTTTAGATGATTTTTCGTCCAAGCCGGACATTGATTTCTTTCTTCGTTGGAGAGATATTAAGGTTCACAGGTTTTGCCTTTCATCCTCCTAGTGCTTCCCCAAAGTTTTTTCGGGGTCTGAAAATTTAGGAAAAGAAATGTTCAAGTATGAGTAATCAATGGACAAAGTCTGAAGAAATTCCAGAGGCGGGAGAAAAAAGCCGTTTTTGCATCAAGCTCTTTGAAGATAACTGATACAGTCTATGGAAATAGCTTGTTAATCAAGGTATTGCAGCTGGTTTTTCATTTGGTCATTGTAATTTCTGTGCAATCCTACCTCTGGAAATTTTTATTCTTCTATTTTTATCTCTTTAGTCCAGGTAAACTAGCTTTTTAACTCTGACAAATTAGAGCAAACTTTTCCTTTGTTATACAGGGTTTATAGGTACCCAATAAGACAGAAAAAAAAGTTTACACAAAATTCCTCCGGGAAAGTGGTGTAATCGCAGTTTTTCAAAATGGCGGCTTACGGCGATTTTCAAAGAGGACATACTGGAATGACTCGTGCAAGCCTCACCCTACGACTTAACCAGAGAGTATGGAATATTTGACCAAACCTTCGTACTCTCTGGACTTCACCAAAAAAAAGTCGCCAACATAATATTTTTGCAGTACAAGAAGATTGCCAACTTCAACAGTTTTTAACCTTTGTTTGTTGTCCTTTACATTGCAGTGTTCAGCAGGTGTTCAGGAAAAGTTTTGGCATTACGTTGTAACAAGAACTTTGTTGACGAAATCCATTCTGGACAAAAATGTGGAATCCTGTCAGACCGAACAAACTTTTATGCTGAACAAGGAGGACAAATATTTGATGAAGGTTTCATAATCAAAAGTGATGATAAGGTAGTTAACTGTAACTCAAGCTCAAGTTTCAGCATTATGTGGACCCTCAGAATTAAAACATGTTGAAGGCCGTAACTACGCTTCTGTGACGTCACGTTAGTCGATGAAACTCGGCCGAGATTTAACATGTGTTCTTATAGAAGAACGCATGGCGCATGTTCCTTTCAAGCCGATATCTCTCAAGGCTTGATCCAATGCAACAATTCATAAGAACCTTTTCGAGAGAGGATGAAATTCCACTTTAGTTAGTTTCATTTCAGTTATTGTTCGATCACTATCAGGTACTCTATCGTGGAGTTAAGTTTTTTTACGCAAATGTTGAAAGCAGAGAAGGAAGGCATAATGGGAGAAAAATTGTAGTGCAAAAACGTAGAGTTCTGAATTTGCACGTTTACCCTTGCAATGAACTCTAAAGTTTGATAAGTCAAATTGTCCAAAAAAAATATAACCTCTGCAGCCGCCGTCTCTCGCAACGATGAAGGTCGGCAGGTTCATAGTCAATAGACTGACTTTGTGGGTACATCATTCGACATGAAACCTTTCATGATATCAAACCTTTGGTTCAATTGTAAATAAACATGGAACCTTGTTTCCGATTCGCGCCCTTTGCGCCATGGTGGTAAAATGTGTCCACATGTTTCTTACAATCGAAAGCTCTCGTGTTTAATGAGTCTTCAATTGATTTAGGACTGTTTAACTAGTTGTGACGCGACGCGGCAACGTGCAAATCAGCCACCGACACCGCCGGCTAGCTCACTCCTCTCCCCGCGCTGGACCGGCCTAGACTCCACAGTACCGCGCCACGCCGTAGGATGGCGCGTGGATGTCTCTGATTTTCCTGATTTTTCCCGGTCCCGGTTTCTCTGAGGAAAACTCAACAAAGCTTTATTTTCCTTTTCTCACCCTAAGAAGGGCATACGACTATTACTTTTATTTTTCCCAGTTTTTTATAATGTATTTTCTAGAAGTCCTTGTTTTGGTGTATTGTCTCATCTCGCTACTTCTCTCCTCAGCCATTCCTACTGGTACCCAGTAGTGTCTTATCCCTCTCTCTCTCTCTCTCTCTCTTTTTCTCTTTAGCTCCTGCTGGTTCCCAGCAGCGTTCCTTTGCACATCTCTCTTCGCCGATCCTACTGATATCCAGTAGTGCTCTTACCTCTCTCCCTCTCTTGCTTCCTGCTGGTTCCTAGCAGTGTTTCTGTTTCTCTCTTCCCTACTGACGCCCAGTAGCGATCCTTCTCTTTCTCTCTCCTACTGGCTGCCAGTAGTGTACTCTCTATCTTTCTCTTTCCTACTGAATTCCAGTAGAGATTTTCCCACTGGTTTCCAGTGGCGTAAAGTAGCAATTAGGTTTTCTTCTCTCGTTTAATAGTTGCGCTTTTAGATATGTTAGGATTTTTGTCTCTTGTTAAGGCTCTTCTAGCCACCAATCGATGACGCGTCTCAGCCTTCTGCCTCACCAGTAAAACTACTCTTCAAAATTCACATCGTTCATTCTATAACTATTTTTCTAGTCTCGTTTTCGCTTCAAAATTTAGGGAACCCAGATTTGCTCTGTTGCTGGCCCCGTGCAGCCTGGCAACCTTTCAAATACAACTAATACAGTTCACTCATCCCGAAGTCATTTCTTTATTTATTTTATTTATTAGAATATCTTGTCCTGCCTGAACAAGGACCGGTTAATGACTAAATTTTAATTAATTAACTCATGAAGAATTCGTGAATGAGGTTGCGTTAGTTTGTTTTGGTTTGAACCAAGATTTTGATATTCTATCGGATGATGTTGAGTCTTGCGCCCGAAAAGGGATATTTTTACGTTGATTCAGTTTTGTTAGTATTTAGCGCTTTGCTATAGTTCGCCAACCGCTCGGCCGCGACTCTGTCACCAGCCTTACTCCTGGTCGTTGGTCGTTGTGCGCCTGCGTAAAGTGACCAGTGCGCAGGCTCACGTGTACGTAGCGACCAGCGGCGACTGGTCAGGAGAGTGGCTGCAGCGGCGATCAGTCTGCAATCAGCTCAGTTCGAGATGCCTGCAAAAGTCTACTTTCCTCCACACGTTTTCATAACGAAAGTAAGCCAACCTTTCAAGTCTTTTCTTTTCCTCAGTCTCCTCTCTAGGGCGTACGTGCCCTAGAAAGAGAGTTGCCTCAAGACGTTCATTCCTTGAGAGGTTTCCACGAGATGTCCATTCCTCGAGTTGCGTCAGGATGTACATACCCTGCTATGCCACCATAAAGTGACATGCCGTGGTGACGATTTTCATACATACCTATGAGTCGCTTTTATAGCGCTCTTTGGCGCTTTACGACGCCTAATCGCCACAAAGCTCGGTCTTCCCACAGGTCATCAGGGAGTTGACACTCCCTCATCTCATTCAACACCCCCTGTCGCCAACCTCTCACTGGGCGTCCCCTTCGTCTCCTCCCAGGAGGAACCCAATCAAGCATCTTTTTTGGCAGCCTCTCTTCAGTCATCCTATTGACATGACCATACCAAACAAGTTGTTTGGTCATGATGTCGAACACGATGTCATTTTCGACTTCCATTATCTGACGCACTCTATCATTACGGACGATTTTCATGCTTTAGTTATTCTCATTTTGTGTTATTTTTGATAATTGAGTTTCCGTTCAGGATTCATTCCGTTTAGTTCCCAAACTTAGTTTATGTTTTCTTCCTCTCGCAGAGGGAGTCCTAGGTATGCGGTTCGCCGAGTTGCCTTCGGTTCTGTCCCCGGGATGGATTTTCTTCTTTTCCTTTTTTTCATTCTTGTTTAGTACGGTCCTCCAGTTTGCTTTCACACCAGACACCATAAATGACATAGTCACTAAATCAGTCTATTTACCTGTCTAAACGCCTGTCAGTATTGGTATGTCTTGAATGGTTTGCTACAGAATGGAGGTCTTTACCCAGATGGTTTCCCTCTGGGACACACCAGGTGTCCGTATCTCTAGCCATGATGCTGAATTTCTGAAAGGCCAGGGGTTTTAAGGTGACACCTTAATGGGGCTTCAAGGTTTTAGGAAGAGGAGCGGACCAACTGGTCTCAATTGACCAGATCGCAGTCATATATGCATATTATCTAACATTACTCAATCATCCTTATACTGAAATCCATAGGTATTATTAAATGAACAGATGAAAAGAAGATATTTAACAATCATTAGCAATAGAGAAGGAGAGGTAGAATAGTATATATACTGTACACTAACTATTATTGATTTTTTGTTTTGGTAATACATGATAAGTACAAAGGAAGTTATTCCTAGTCCTTCTCACCTTATCACCAGGGATACACTTTACACTATATGTACACTAAGTAGATGGACTCAATTTATGTGGTATTTGAAGAGGTCACGATATATTCAAGTAAAGGTTTGAAAAAAATTGTTTGAATGTTGGCTATTGTGTGAAATTTTCTGTTGCAGGATGTTGAGGTAAACGTATATAATGTGCAAGTAAAAGGCGGTTATGTTTTGCATTATGGTACTGTTGAAGGAACATTGAAAGTGGGTGACTCCATAGAATTATCTATTGATACCAAACGCAGGAGGAAAGTCATGAGTAATCACACTGGAACTCATGTCCTAAATCATTCACTACGACATGTTTTGGGTCAAACAGATCAAAAAGGATCACTGGTTGTTCCAGAAAGACTTCGTTTTGACTTTTCCAATAAAGTAGGTTTTCAAATCTCATTATAATGCTATATTATGAATGTAGTCAAGCCTGCTGACTATAAAGTTTTTTTACCAAAGTGTCAATCTGTGTCCCTCATGCCTGGACAAAATTCCAGCCTTCTCAGAGGAGGGNGGGGGGGGGGGGGGGGGGGGGGTAGAGGGGAAACTCCTCTTCTACAAAACTTTGAAAATCGATACCTTCACAACCAGTTGAGTGTAACTCAACTTTTATGGTATGTCTTTTTTTCGTATTTGGTACATTCAGGGAATCGTGCAGTTTGAAAAAGCTGGACAAGTAAGAGAAATCCAGGTATTTTCTCCACCTTTGTCTTCGATTTCAACGAACTTGACTGAAAATGAAAGGATTGAGGCATACAAGAGTCATGAGTTAGGATTTTGCTATAAGAATGTTGAATAATTTGAATGACTGAAATTACCACCACAGGAATTATGAAACTTATTATCCTTTTCTTTTAAGTCTGATAGGCCCTCCTTTGAAGGCAGTATAAAGGTGTCATTCAAGAAAGCTACAGGAAAAAGTTACGAATTATTTAAACAAGTTGAACACAATCTCCAACTTTTTGGGATCCGTTTCAATACTTTCATTGCAGAATGCCACCTCATAACTTTTATATGCCTCAACCTTTTTGTTTTCAGCCAAGTTCAATAAAGAAGGAGAAAAGGTGGTAAAAATTTTTCTAAATTGTGCTCTCACCAAAAGATTTAGTGGTAAACCCCTCAATAAAAAGCGCTACATTTTCTCTAGTCTACAGATTGCCTTCTTGATAAAATGCATCGGAATACATGAAATCTGTAGCTGGACCTGATTAAACAGGTAATGCAGTTTCTTGTGATGGACATTTTGGTTTTTAGTCGTGCGGCGAAGCCGTATAGACTCTAGGTTTTGCCGGAGGCTAAAAAATGTCCACACTTTTAGGCTAAGTCCAAGAGGAGAATTTTCGAGGAACCAAGTAACATATGAGGTATTGATATCGGTGCATTTTGGCCCAATGGAGATGTTACATGTGCGAGGAATTTGCAATTTAACTGTTGATTCTTGTATAAAAGTTCGCGAGGAACACAATGATGCCACTGGTTATCTCTGAAATCATCTCCCAAGCTCCAAAAAAGCTCTCAAGTTGAGGCCAAAATGGAGGGGATATCCCACCTTACCCTGAGAGTCTACGTCTACATGAAGACTAACTCTCCACGCAAAGATAGGGAGCAAATACATTAGCAGGGTTGCCGTGTTTTCAGTTTTGGAGTCCCCAGATAAATTGGTAGCCCTGTCAATGTATTAGCTCCCTATCTTTGCATGGAGAGTTGGTCTTGATCTAGACTTGGACTCTCAGGGTAGGGTGGGATATTCCCT